TATAACAGCCAAAGACTTCATAGACTTTTAAGAAAAAAGTATGTACATATGATTTATATTTGACTTCATTTTTTTACATTACTGTGCTTTAAGGCACGGTTATCTATTTTTTATATTATAAAATAAAGTAAATAAAATAAAAACGCACACAATGAATGTGCAGTTGCTTACGTTATATTAAAGGAGGAGATTATATTTAAGAGAAGTAGAAAATATGATATAAGTGGAGAGCAAAAACACAAAGTGTCCCTTTTCATATTTGTGGCATACAATCACTGAAAGAAACTGCATGTACAGAAAATGACAGTTGTAAATTACATGTAAATACGGTAAAATTTGTTAGAAAAAAATAATAATATGGTGACCTCGGTAGATAGAATAAAAGCGAAGGAATATCTTTTTTTATGACAGATGGTTAGATGGATGGAAGGCCTCTGAAAGTTTTCTGGGTGAGGTGAAAATCCCTTTTCGGTTCTGTTTGATGGTTAAATGTACAGAAGGCTTCTAAAAGTTTGCTGGGTGTGGTGAAAATAAAGTTTTTATTTTTCTGTTGAACGTAAGGCCTCTGAAAGTTTACTGGTGAGGTGAAAATGATGGATCGTAACCAATGTTTTCAAAAAGCTGTGTCTGCACTGAATTCATGATGCTGTTTAGAACTACCGTCAATTTAAAAAAAAGAAAAGAAACAAAGTTGTGTTTCAAACAGCGTCCATTGCTAAGGGTACCTGCAGAAATAAAGGGTAAAATCTAAGGCACAATGCCTGTCCTTAATTCGCATGTCAACCTGGGGAGTTTGTGATTTCATTGAGTTTCTGTGACTTCTGGGATCTTAAGCACTTCAGCAAGTATTCTTTCAACATTGATATGGAGTTGTTAAAGCTTCAAACATTTATATTCAAAACATGATCATTCAAAGCATGGTCTTGTTACCAGTGGGGTACCTCAGGGATCTGTACTTGGACCCATTCTCTTTAATATTTTTATTAGTGATATTGCAGAAGGTCTTGATGGTAAGGTATGTCCTTTGCTGATGATACCAAGATATGTAACATGGTTAATGTTCCAGGATGGGTAAGCCAAATGGCTAAAGATTTATCCTATAGATGTCAATTCAAAATATTAACCCTTACCTATAAATCTCTAACCAACTCTATCCCCTCTTACATTTCTTATAAAACACAAAAATTAGGTGCTCACTATACTGTAGAGTTTAAGGCAGCAGTAAATCTTACAAGGATTTCCAAAAACCTTGTAGGAATAGAGACATAAGACAAATACAAAAAATAGATAACCGCGTCTTAAAACACAATAATGTACAAAAATAAAGTCAAATATAAATCATACGTACATACTTTTTTGTTTAAAGTCTGTGAAGTCTTTGGCTGTTATACAGTGCATGGTATCTCAAAGAAAAAGGAAAAAGAGAAACAATAATAGTGCAGTATGTCTTTAACACCTTACTTGAAAGACTTAATCTGTGTCTCAAATATGTGAAGACAAAAATTGGAATATCCAATATTGCACTACTGGATATTCCAATTTTTGTCTTCATATAATCGAGACACAGATAAAGTAGCTGAAGCTGAAAATATATCCATTGACGGGGATTGTACCATCTACGTCCTACACAGCAGAGCTCTTTGCAGCTCTATAAATTGTGAGTTTTTGCTATAGCACTCTACTTCACTGTGTTAAATACTTACTGCACTATTATTGTCTCTCATTTTTCCTTTTTCTTTGAGATACCATGCACTGTATAACAGCCAAAGACTTCATAGACTTTTAAGAAAAAAGTATGTACATATGATTTATATTTGACTTCATTTTTTTTACATTACTGTGTTTTAACCCCTTAAGGACCGAGGACGGTTCAGGACCGTCATCGGCATTTTTGCCTTGAGGACCGATGACGGTCCTGAACCGTCCAAACGGTCTGGGGCTACTTACCTGAATCAGTAGACTGCCTGCAGCCCAGACAGTCTCCCCACGGCAGATTAGGACCCCTGTGGCCATGTGATCGCTTAACACAGCGATCACATGGTCACAATAGGTGTCCAATGTGCCTGCAGGGGGACTGCCTGTACTTCTCCCTGCACGTAAAATCAGAAAAAAAATTAAAGTTAATGGTAATAAAAAAATAATAATAATTATATATGTATAAATATGATATATAGACATATATTATATCTATATAATATATGTCTATATATCATATATATAATGATACTAAGTGTATTTTAATATTAATATGTACTTATATTAATATAAAAATACACTTATAATTAAATTACACACGTATATATATAATATATATAATAACTATATATATTGTATATATATATTATTATAAAATATAACTAATAAGTAATTTAAATTAAATATTTTTTTTAAAAATAATAATAAAAAATTTAAAAATTATATAGCTATATGAAATTTTATTCTAACTGTATTTTAAAATTAATATATATATATTTATATCAAAATACACTTAGAATGAATTTGTATATATATCTATGTATATAAAAATATAAAAATAATAAGAAATATACATACGTCCATATACAAAATTACATAAATAATTATATAAATATACACGTAGACTTCAAATATATAAATATGCATATATATTTAAATTCTACGTGCGTATTTATGTAATATTTTTACATAATTCAGTAATTTTATTGATTGCAATTTGAGGGACCTGCCTGCCAACCCAGGCCGAAATTCCAGAGAATTTAATTTGCTAGCACTGTATTTTACCCTGTAACGTTCTACGACACCCTAAAACCTGTACATGGGGGGTACTGTTTTACTCGGGAGACTTCGCTGAACACAAATATTAGTGATTCAAACAGTAAAACATATCACAGCGATGATATTGTCAGTGAAAGTTACTTTTTTTGCATTTTTCACACACAAACAGCACTTTTACTGATGATATAATTGTTGTGATACGTTTTCCAGTTTTTAAACACTAATATTTGTGTTCAGCGATGTCTCCCGAGTAAAACAGTACCCCCCATGTACAGGTTTTATAGCATTTTTGAAAGTTACAAGGTCAAATATATGGGTCAAATATTTTACATTGAAAATGGCCAGGTTGGTTACGTTGCCTTTGAGAGCGTATGGTAGCCCAGGAATGAGAATTACCCCCATGATGGCATACCATTTGCAAAAGAAGACAACCCAAGGTATTGCAAATGGGGTATGTCCAGTCTTTTTTAGTAACCACTTGGTCACAAACACTGGCCAAAATTAGCGTTCAATTTAGTTTTTTTACTTTTTTCACACACAAACAAATATGAATGCTTACTTTGGCCAGTGTTTTCGACTAAGTGGCTACTAAAAAAGACTGGACATACCCCATATTGAATACCCTGGGTTGTCTACTTTAAAAAAAATATGTACATGTGGGGTGTTATTCAGAGATTTATGACAGATAATAGTGTTACAATGTCACTATTGATAAATTTTAAAAATGTATGTTTTGAAACCGCAATATCCTACTTGTACCTATAGCCCTATAACATGCAAAAAAAAGCAAAAAAGCACGTAAACACTGGGTATTTTTAAACTCAGGACAAAATTTTGAATCTATTTAGCAGTTTTTTTTCATTCGCTTTTGTAGATGAGTAAAAGATTTTTCAAGTAAAAGTCAAAAAACATGTATTTTTTTCAATTTTTCATCAGATTTTTGTATTTTTTTTAAATTAAAATACATGAGATTATATAAATAATGGTATGTAAAGAAAGCCCATTTTGTCCTGAAAAAACAATATATAATTTGTATGGGAACAGTAAATGAGAAAGCGGAAAATTACAGCCAAACACAAACACCACAAAAGTGTAAAAATATTCCTGGTCGCAAATGTACAACATCGCAAAAACAGTCCAGTCCTTAAGGGGTTAAGGCACGGTTATCTATTTTTTATATTATAAAATAAAGTAAATAAAATAAAAACGCACACAATGAATGTGCAGTTGCTTACGTTATATTAAAGGAGGAGATTATATTTAAGAGAAGTAGAAAATATGATATAAGTGGAGAGCAAAAACACAAAGTGAACTTCTAGATACACCATATAAAATAAATAAACAAGATAATACTTAATATAATGTAAGCAACTACACATTCATTGTGTGCATTTATTTTATTTACTTTATTTTTACTGACATTAAACTGGATTATGTGTTACAGTGTTAACCAAATCAAACCGTATTAGGAGTAGGACAATTCATAATGAGCCACCTGTAAATTGTCAACAAGGAAAAATCTGCCAACACTTGTCAAGATTGGTAAGAAAGAGAGTTAGAGTGGAATTATTCCCAGGCTATTTGTGATCCAAAAAATCGTCCTGCTCCTACTGCACCAAATGATAGTAATTTCGCATGCAACACCCCCATCACATATACCAGCACCCATCACTAAGTAATAGTAATAGAGAGAAAACATAACAAAAATGAAAACCATACTAACCTCTATTAAAGCCAAAAACAATTAACTATATAGTAAAATAAAACGTCTCTCATTCATTGAAATTGAAGTTGACCAATCAAATCAATGGATTTTCATGTAGCAAATGCCAATGAAAATCTGATTTAAAAAACAACAAAACACCAATCCCACTCTTTCTGTGCTCCCATTAAACCCAACAAGGTCCAGAAAAGGGCAGTTATAGCATTGACTATAATGCAAGCACTTTGCAGATCTGTATGTGGTGCAGGAATGCAGGTGCAATGTTCCCCTGTTTTGAGGTAGATGACTTTGGCTTATTGGCCACGCAGAGGGCATGTGCAAGCATCACCCAAAAAGCCAAGATTCCAGTTTTTATTATTATTTTTACATATCCAATCTCATGAAACTACATTTGGGATAATTGTTTAATTATAAATTTGCTGTATACTATAATGATGATTTTGTTTTGTAGCATAGCACTCTAAGAATGCAGATAATACACATATATCTGTAAAAAAAACCTGCTAATTTAGGCAAAATGATAGTGACGCTCAAAAGACCACACCTGCATTTTTAAGATTTTCGTTGACCTTGAAGATAAACTATAATTCTTGCCATACCTGTTCAGCAGTTTCAAATGGAGGCTGAGACACAATACTGTTATTTGTAGTTTGACTGCTTATGAGGACATACAGCTAAGGACTTTGTAGGAGTTAGCCTTCGGCTCCAAAAAACAGGTGAGATTCTTCTATATACCTATAAATCTTCATGCACCATGTTTAATCCTATATAGTGTGTACATATCACATTTAAGGCAAGCAACTATGGATGTAATTAGCATTGAAAATACATATTGAACACACAATTATTGCATATATTTATTCTTATTACATATTAGGCATTTTTAACACACGGGGGTAATATGAACGAAAAGAAGGTGCTATTTTGTGATACATAATAACCAGTCAAAATGAAAACCAACAGAATATCTGTCATTTAGCACATTTCTCCAAAATTGCACCTGTTTCCTTGATTTATCTCCCCCATTATAAATGTTATACCTACTAAGATGGATTGTTTAATATAGTGCAATAATATACCAGGTTTACGAATGAAGGATTATGTTATGAAATATGTTAAACTGCATAGTGTTTTTTTTCTGCTCCCTATCATTTGTTAGAATCGTATTTGCTGTCAGTAATACCAAACTTGCAACAGCAAGAGCTGCCATTGTTTATTTCTGTTTATATTCTTAAAATAAATGGGACGGTTAATGCCACAAATGATCTGTTATTAGAATGGGTAAAAATTAGTACAGGTCTAATAGGTTCAATGATATATCACAGTTATTACAGATACAATATCGGTTGCAATAGGTACAATAACGGGACACTGTTACAACAGGCACACTAATATGATATGATACAGGTAAAATAATATGGAACAGTTATAGCAGGTCTGATAATGTGTTCTAAGACGTAATGTGGCATAATATGACCTTAGGGTTAGCTTAATTGTGATGAGTCCACAGCAGACCATTAGTCACAGGGAGTGGTGTGGCAGGTGACTCTTAAGTCAATAACATCTTAAATAAAGTTTGACAACCTTGAAATGTCTGAATGCGTAGGTTTACCAAAATCACACAGAAGTAGGTGGAAATGTTATTTTAGCCAAATATGAAGCTTGCATATTATTATTATTATTATACATATTTTTTAATTAGAATCTATTGTTTTTTTGGAATCACAAAGGAAAGTTGTGAACTTTTGGAAATATATGTAATAATGTAATAATATATGTATAATATCGCAGGTACGGTCAGCACATAGTTAGCTTGTGTGTTGTCCCTTGGAATTCCGTGATCTGACCTACCTCACAATTTTTATGTTTTCAACACTAAATTCCCCTCCGCACATTTATTTATACCGCTTCACTATTCTCTTCAAAGCTTTCTGTGATAAATCACAGTACAATGCATAATATTAAAAGAATACCCCACGTACCATAACTGCTAGAGCTTGCTGTAGTAGTTGTGGTGCCAAGACTGCCCTGGCACCCCCACAGTGTTAGTAGTCAAACTGTTTTAAAACGGTTTGACAAGTTAACTGGGGTCCACGGAAGTGCCGGCCACCTCCTCAGCTTCAGACAGAAGCTCCAGGCATAAAAAAAAGCCCCCCTGCCCCCTGTACCCACCCCCCCCACACACACACACATACCACCAACTCCAATAGCTGTCTGTGAAAGCCAAATGCATTAATACAGTGGCTGTCAAAACCTGTTTCTAACAATTTCTTAAGCAAAATGTTAGATCCGTCTCAAGACTGTAAGCTCGTTTGAGCAGGGTCCTCATCAACCTATTGTTTCTGTAACATTTAGTAATTGTGTTGTTTATTGTTCAATATCCTCCTTTTATAATATTGTGAAGCGCTGCGGAACAAGTTGGTGCTGTATAAATTCCAATAATAAGACACTGAAAATGTTGGAAATTACATTTTGAAAGTTCGTATAAGTCAAATTGTTATGTACTTTTTGTAACATAAATGCAAACATATATTAAATCCCTCGTGGAACCTTAACAAAGGTGAATGTAATATCATGAAAAGAGTAATCAAGAGTAATCTCTTGAAAATGTTACTGAAATCAAAATATAATGCGTGAAAGTTTTTGGGAAATACAAAAAAATTTCTTTTTGACATTATATTGAATAATAATTACATAAGTGATATAATCTGAATGCTTTATCTTGCGACTTAGAAAGGGGTAGGGCTATAGTAAATCTGTGTCCCTTTAAGATGTCCCTTTAACTATTACTTTAATTGCCTGACAAATGCCTATTCTGTATCGATAAATGTACATTAAATGTAATGCCGTAAAACAATTTTCCTTTAAATAAGTAAGAATATCCTCCTTCAAAATTACTTAGTACAAAATAATAGTTGCATGACTAATAATTTCAGAGATAGATTGTTAGTTATCTTGAACCCTCTCTGATTCTGTATATCAAACACACACGGGATTATTCACTAACGTGAGAATTGTTGTGAAGTCAAACTGAATTAAAAATTTAGGACCATAATAGCAAATTAAAAGCATAACTGACTTGGATAATGTTTCTGTTTGGTCTATTTTGACTGAAACTTGTATACATGATGTCCCTGGCCTTATCTTATAGTTAGGATAGCCTTATGCCTATCCCACGAATGCTTAAACTCCTTTACTGTGTTAACCTCTACCACTTCAGCTGGAAGGCTATTCCATGCAACCACTACCCTCTCAGTAAAGTAATACTTCCTGATATTATTTTTAATAATATCCTCTTAAAGCTTGGCTAACTCTACTGAATGTCCTTTAACTATTGTGATTTAGTAATTTTTTATATGTTGGTTTTTTTTATGTCTAGATTGAGATTTACAAGTTTATTTTAAAGCACCTTCGGTTTTTTACATACTTATAGGAATTGGTGATTTGGTTCTTATCAATTAATCTAAGTAATATACACAGTTTGTTTTCTTCTTCCCTTTCTTATCCCTCCCTATTCACCTGCTCCTGGAATTGTAACACGTTTGTCCCGACTGTTTTGTTTCCAATTTTGCAGAGCTTAGGAAGGGGCTTCTTTTACCAATTGAACACGTTGTTTAGTAGATAATTCCATTTCCTATTTTGGATCTACTTTTTTCACCTATTTATCTATACAATTTTTTTAATGCATTATGTAGCTAAAATGATAATAACAAAAATCATAAAATAAAATAATAAAAACAATAATAAAATTATGTGTATTTTTGTAGCTCAATCTGTTTGGATTTTATAGCACAGTTCATGAAAGTTCGGCTATTTAAACTATGTACAGAAGAGAGATTTATTGCACAATAACAAATACAGACATAATCAGAAGATTTACACATAAGATAATTATTGCATATTTAACTAACGCACTACCAATCTGGAAGGTGGTGGGGGGTGGGACGGTTACAAAGTATGCAAGTAAAGACTAAAGGGACACTATAGGGTTCCAGACCACGTCATCTCATTGAAGTGGTCTGGGTGCAGTGTCCCTGTACCCGTTAACCCAGCAATGTAAAACACTGCAGTTTGGGTGAAACAGCAATGTTTACATTGCAGTGTTAAGATTGCCTCTAGTGACTCCGTGAAACGATGCTGGATGTCCTCACACTTTGCTTTAGGACATCCAACATGTTGAAAAACCACATAGGAAAGACTTGAGTCAGTGCTTTCCTATGGGGAAGGCCTAATGCTTGGGGGTGGGATGGGGTCACAAAGGGGGGAAAAGTTTTAGCTGTTTTCTATTTAAATGTTTTTTAATTAATTTGTCCCAAAAAAATTTAACCCCTTCCTGCCGGATGACGGACCTGGTCCGTCATGGCGGGGAAACCGTTAACACCAAATAACGGACCAGGTCAGTCATGCGATAAAGTTAACCCCAGATCGCCGCAGGGACTCACGATCCGCCTCCCTGCTCTTCCTCGGTCAGTGTGAAGTGCAGGGAGACGGATCAGAGCTGATCTGCTTCCTCTGTGTAAAAAGAAAACAAAAAGTTAAATTAAACCCCCCCCCCTCCCCTGCTTTAATAAAATTAACCCCTTCCCTACCAATTGATCACTGACTACCGTGATAAATTGTCAGGGACTACATTTTACTGTGATCTAAAAAAATTTTTTAACCCCTGAGAGTCAACTTTTATTTTTTGTAACCCTCAGAGGTTAAATTTATTTTATTAATTAATTTAAATATATTAAAATGATATATTTAGCTAACTGGGTGGGTTGACGTTAGTGGGTAATTTGGGAATTTGGTGTTAGGCTAGCTAGGGGTTAACGTTAAAAAAAGTTTACAAAAAGTTTTAAAAAGATAAAAAAGTTTTAATTACTTTTTTTTTCAAGTTACAAAAAACCCACCCCCCCTTTACCCAGTCCAATAAAAATTAACACCTTCCCTGTCAGTTGATCACTATCTACATATTATAGTATTATACTGTGATCCGATTTTTTTTTAACCTCTTAGGATTAACTTTTTAAAATTAATTAATTTAAATATTTTAAAATGATAAATTTTGCTAGCTGGGGTGGGTGGGAGTTATGGGAAATTGGGGAATTTACGGTTAGTGCTGCTTACTGCTAGTTAGGGGATAACGGTAAAAAAAGTTTATAAAAATTTTAAATCTGTAAAAAAAAAGTTTTAAGAAAGTTTAGGAAAGTTTAAAAAAAATAATAAGCAAAAAAAGTTTAAAAACTAGTTTTAAAAGTAAAAAAGTTTTAAAAAATTTAAAAATACATTTAAAAATGCCCATTACCACTACACCTGGAACAAACTAGAGAAAAAAATTAAGGTTCAAAATATGCCTTTTGAATTACCATATTATTCTTTAATAAATAGTATGTGTTTGTGGGGAAGTTTCAATAACCAACCAGCTAAACTACTCCAAAATTAAACATGGACACAGCATAAAACTTCAAAGTTTGAAAAAAACTGAATTGCTGCGTCTCAAATGTGCCCCTTGAACATCCACATATGCCTGGCAAAGGTACATACGGGAGTATTGCTGTACTCAGACAACATAGCTAAGCAACATATGTAGTATTACACAGTTGTAGCACACATAAGGTTTGCAAAATATACTGTGCTAACTCACTATGTGTGTCAAAAAGGCAGAAAAAACGCTTGTTACCACTTCACTTGGTACAAACATTGACATAAATTGGTGAAAAAATGGTGACAAGTTAAGGCACAATATACACCACATAAGATATCCTGGGGTGTCTGCTTTGTCAAATGAAAGCCCTTTGTGGGGTTATTTGAACAGTCACACTGCTAAAATACCTTAAAATGGCCCATCAAATCCATCTACGAAAATTCTAACTATAGAAACTGAAATAGCCTTGTCTTTTATATGGCATTGTAGCTTCACAGAATAGTGCTGAATGCATACAATGGGGGTATCGTTATACTCAGCAGATGTAGCTGAACACAATATGGGGTTCTGTGCAGGAATAGCACACAGCAGCTTTACGAAATACACATTACGAAAACCTTGTTATATGTGTATATGCCAAAATAAAGAAAAAACACAATTTTACTCCAATATTTAGCAGAGATTGGCGATGAAATGGCTACGTAAAAAGTGTCAAACTAACCTTAGTTAAATAGCTTGTGATGTCTACTTTATATAAAAGTATACTTTTGTGTGGCAATTTTTTTTCTGTGTTGGCTACTAAACCTACAAGACAAACATACCAACTTCTAAAATTGTTGCAAATTGAAATTTTATTTTAGTCCTTGTATTTTGTGACCTGTAACTTTCAAAATGAGCTGAAATCCTATACATATGATGTACTCTATAAATCAAAACACATAAATGAATTTATTTTGAATTACTTTTTCTAAGCTGGACATATTATGCACAAGCTATTATTGCCAAAACTGTTTTTTTTGTTTGTTTGTTTGTTTTATAATTAATGAGAATGTATCTATGTATATGTGACATCAAATTAAAGCCCTGTTTGCCCTTTAAAAAAACAATGTGTAATATGTGTTGGTGCAATAAATGACAGAGATGCAATTTGCGTTTGAACACAAACAGCTAAATAATGCAAAATTGGCTTGTGTCCTTAAGCGTAAGACAAGCTTCTGAAGCTGTGTCCTTAAGGGGTTAAAGAGATACATAACAAAGGGAAAGGCTACCAAAGAGAAAAATAGGCGAAAATGGGGCAAACAAATAGTCCATCCACAGAACATTCAACATATATAGTCAAGCAGTGTTAATTTTGGCAGCAAATTTCAATTTAGTTTTAGTCATAGTCTTTTGACTTAAAAGCCATTTGGTTTTAGTCATATTTTAGTCATCTAAATCCTTTTAGTTTTAGTCTAGTTTAAGTCGACTAAATCTCCAGTAGATTTTAGTTGGCATGACTAAAATCTAATGGGTTTAGTTAAAGTTTCTATCTCTCTCATTTGCCCCTTCCACAGCCCCTCTGTGTCTCTTTGTGTCCCCCTAGCCCCATTTGTGTGTCTCTTCCCCCTGCACCTTGTCTGTTTCTCCCCCATTCCCTCCATGCATCTCAACTCCCACATGTGTCTGATTCCCTCAGCCGCCTATGTGTCTTAATTCCTACCCCATCCCTCCACTTGTCTCATTCACCCTAAACCCCTCCATGTGCTCATTTTCCCACCCTAGTCTACACTTGTGTCTCATTCCCTCAGCCCCCTCATATGTCTCATTCCCTCTGCCCTCTCATTCCCTCTGCCCCTCATGTGTCTCATTCCCTCAGCCCCCTCATATGTCTCATTCCCTCTGCCCTCTCATCCTTCTGCCCTCTCATGTGTCTCATTCCCCCAGCCCCCTCATGTGTCTCATTCCCTCAGCCCCCTCATGTGTCTCATTCCCTCTGCCCTCTCATGTGTCTCATTCCCCCAGCCCCTCATGTATCTCATTGCCTCTGCTCCCTCATGTGTCTCATTCCCCAGCCCTCCATGTGTCTCATTCCCTCTGCCCTCTCATTCCCTCTGCCCTCTCATGTGTCTCATTCCCCCAGCCCCTCATGTGTCTCATTCCCCAGCCCCCTCATGTGTCTCATTCCCTCTGCCCTCTCATTCCCTCTGCCCTCTCATGTGTCTCATTCCCCAGCCCCCTCATGTATCTCATTCCCTCTGCCCTCTCATTCCCTCTCTCCCCTCTGATCCCTCTGCCCTCTCATGTGTCTCATTCCCCCAGCCCCCTCATGTATCTCATTGCCTCTGCCCCTTCATGTGTCTCATCCCCCCAGCCCCCTCATGTGTCTTATTTCCCCAGCCGCCTCATGTGTCTCATTCTACCAGCCCCTATGTTTCTCATCCCCCTGGCCTCCTGTGCATTTATTTCCATCTGCCCCCCATGTGTCTCGGATCCCCAGTCCTCCATGTGTCTCATTTCTTCTCCTCCTTCCCCCATGTGTCTTACCCGCCAATGGTAAATTCATTTTGGCGGTAAATTTCAATTTAGTTTTAGTCATAGTCTTTTAACTAAAAAGCCATTTTAGTTTTAGTTGAATTGTTTTAGTTTTAGTCAACTAAAGCTTAGCCTAGAGTTAATCTGAAACTGTATGCTAAGGCTGAAAATGAAGGTGACCTCCCAGCCATGATTTTGTTAGTCTAGTTGTAATTTTACAATAGATTAATCGGTGATGTATTAGTTTTAAGCTTTTCCCAATTAAGAGTGACTCCTAGTGCAAGCTTGGATGTTAATTTTCAGCATTAATTGGTGATGTATTACTTAACTTTATCCTTGTAATTAGAAAGCTTCTACTATACTACCCTTAATTTTTGAAATATTATTTAAAAACACTATTGATCTATTCTTTAATGATACTATTGATCTATGTAATAAAAAGCTTCATTATTCACCCACTCAATTTGTTTCATATTCTGCATTCTTGAAACTTACGAAACTATAGCAAAACATTTGGATATGACTCTTAGCAGAATTTTTTTTTTACTTTGGCTTGATTAACATATCAAAAGGCCAGAGGCCTGTGCTCTAGCAAAGAAGCAAAAAATTCCTGAAGCCATCAGGTCTGTCCACATGTACATGTCCTTGGTTGCAAAGTATCACACCTGGCCAGAGGGATGTTGGTTTAACAGGAAGGAACATAATTCACAGCCCTTCTCCTGTGATCTAACAAATGGCAAATTCCTCTAAACAGAGTAGCCAAATGAATACCTCCAGTGCTGTAATTAGACATTCCACCCCTATTAGGTAAACATTTTATGGATCCATTACACATATCACAGTTATGGACAATATTTTTTCCGATAAGACAATTATTCATGATCGCTGGTCATGGCTTATTGACTCTACCACACACAGGTTGGATGACGGGAATTCCATTGAAGTGCCTATAAAACTTTAGACTAGATAATAATTTTGTGTTTGTTTTTGTTTGTTAGTGGTTTTGAACTTTGTCTGGTATTCCATGTTTCAATATCAGGTTAAAACCAGGCTTAAGTTTTGCCATCGTCATTGGCATCGTCATTAACGACACAATCTTGACATTGTCAAACAACATTTTTAAGATTACCTAACAGGTGGAAGGTTATCAGCAGTATTGACAACAGGTGATACGTGTGGAAATAACTTCAACAAAACAAGAGAGTAATGCCTGATAATTCCTTACTTTATCGCATAGACCTTTTGTTGGACCAGAATGGAGAGACTCTGGTTTGGGTTGTTTGAGCTGCCTTCAATAGTGAACTAAAAGCGCTCAAAGCCTACCATATCTATTTCAGCATTGATAAATGTTTGTTTATTAAGGCATGTTATTTAAAGTAGAAATTTTGGATTTAGTAGACATTGTGTATTGCTTGAGTTATCATTTTTAGATTTAACGTGTACTGTTATGTTTTTATTTGTTATAAAAAAAGTGTTGTCAGTGGTTTATCAAGTTATTTTGTTATGTTAAATTGTATAACATTAGTGTTTATTTAAAAAAATATATATTTCAGTTTTGTGTTATAAAAATTAAAGAAGGACAATTAAAAGTGCTTCCATTTAAAATGTCTGCTCTTGGTGACTTTCTGAATATTGCAGGTGCACACATAAAACAGATGTGATCAATTAATGTGTGAATAATTTTTTGCAGGTAAATGTGTAATCAGTTAATATGTTAATATTTTTTTGCAGGTGCACACATGAAACACATATTGCAGGTACACACATGAAACAGATGGGTTGAATTAATGTGTGAATAATTTTTATCCAGAGTGAATTTGATCACTCAAGCCTCACTGAATAACCCTTTCCCGACATGTGCTCTGCCATCCTACAAAAGGAGGGCTTTAACGTTGTTAGGGCAGCATTGCACGCCCTAATGATTAAGCTCTCTCTGCAGCCTGTATACTTGCCTGATCTGATCCGGAGGACTGCCTGACAAGATCACATGACTCGGATCAGTGTGATTGACAGACTGACTGCACTTGGATTGCCTGGGTTGTCAGGCAGATCCCCAACATATACCTAATACAAATAATATGATAATATGATTATGCACAAATAACAGATATATATATATATATATATATATATATATATATATATATATTGCTGTAGAAGTGCTACACTACTTTTAGTTCTTTTTGGTTTTACGTTTGGTGTTGGGAAAACACTATAAAGTATATATTAGTTTATTAAATTAAATAAATAGAATTACAATAAGTAATTGAAGCACTTTTTTAACATATAAAATACATTTAGAATGAAATTATATATATTATTTAATCCTAAATGTATTTTGTATATTATTTATAAATAATTATACTATAAATTATATATTGGGGTACCTGGCTGACAATCCAGGCAGAAGTACCAGAGAATTTAATGTGCGAATACTCTATATTTGACCCTGTAACTTTCCAAAACCTCATAAAACCTGTACATGGGGGTGGGGGCATATTGTTGTACTCGTGAGACACCGTTTAACACAAATATGAGTGTCTTAAAGTAGTCAAATATATAATGACGATGAGATCATCAGTGAAAGTGCCGTTTTAGTGATAAAAACAACAACAAAAAACAAATATGAATGCTAAATTTGGCCAGGGTTTTTGACTAAAAAACTAAAAAAGACTGGACATATCCCATTTTGAATACCCTGAGTTGTCTACTTTTGCAAATGGTATGCCGTGATGGGTTAGCTCTCATTCCTTGGCTGTCATATGGCTGCCATAGGCCCAGCACCCAATCTGGCAAACTGAAATGGGCAAACTCTTTAATTGACTCTGTAATTCTTTACATGACAAAAGTGTTGTTGAATTTTGGACAGTTGTGTTTATATAGTTTGCAGCCGAAAAAAGCTTTGACAATTATCAAATTTATAGATTGTGAACGTTGTGGATGTTAAGTATTTTCCTTTATTTTTTTGTTACCGTGGTAGTTCTGTAAAAAAAACTGCCTAATACGAGCCTTGTATCTAATGATACAATAGGCAAGGGAGGTAAAATCTATTAGTGGTCTATTAGTGGTCCCCAAGTGGGAAATGTAACACAAAGGAAAAACCAGGAAAAATCAAAGTCACAAACTTAAACATATTTCATTTATACTAATGCATTTTACTGTTAACGTTAGTGTTTATATTAAAAAAAATATTTCAATTTTGTGTTATAAAAATTAAAGAAGGACAATTAAAAGTGCTTCCATATAAAATGTCTGCTCTTGGTGACCTTCTGAATATTGCAGGTGCACACGTGAAACAGATGGGATCATGATAGAGCACACATTACATATATATATATATATATATATATATATATATATATATATATATATATATTGTTTTTTTTGTAGTCACTGACATTTTTAGGCACATTTTTCTTTCCACTTGCATTGCCCGCGGCTTTAAACTTAATAGCACATTGCAAAGTCATATAAATAGTGCATCTGTTTTTAGCTCTATTGAATTCATGAAAATCCTTTAAACTATGTAGATAAGATTCAAATCAGTAGAGTGGAACCTGACTCAATAGTATAGAAGGTGTGACACCCAGGTTTCTCAGTAAAAAATATTCAATCAGTTCTCACCCTTTTCAATGTAAGCAAACTTTTTATTGCACATTGTTATTTTTTCAGTAAAGCCGATTTGTTTTGTGTTCTTAATTTTCAATGTTCTATTGTTGAATTAAAGGGCTAGTCCATCCAACAACCAACATGTCTTTAATACTATACCTATCATCCTTCCAACCTTCCACCTCTCCCGAATATCTGTTCTGTTGCTCTAAAGCAGCTATGCCATTTTTAGTTTTTTTTGCATAATTTACAAAGACATGGGGTCAACCAATCTGCTATAATATTTCTAATTCTTGAAATGATTTATGCAATTCTGAAATTTTCTAGCAGCTTGGTGTTCGATTTAACTGATCACTTTGATTAGTCATTTAATGCCATTCATATTTTTGTTTTACAGAAATTTAAAAGGCGACACTTGCTCTCATAGAATGCACCCACGGAGGTGGGCCATGATGGCCCTGTTATTTGCTGGTGAGTATCTTATAGAAGAAAAAGGCAGTTACTAAGAAACAATATTCTCTTTCATTTTTATGCATTTTGTTAAGCAAATATAAACCATCAGGAAGGAGTCACTGTATACATAGGTGAAGAATAGTTAAAATGCTGTTGTTGGTAATGCATTGGCCAAGATGTGGGTGTGGAAAGGCAATACATCTCCTGAATCAGGTTGGCCTTAATTGGTCATGCAACTACTTTAGGTCTGACATATGAGTGAGGATTTATCAATGTGTGCAATAAAAGTGATGCAATAGGCTACAAACTGTGCCAATCAGCATGAAAACCAATAAAATCAGTAAGTGCATTCTATTGATAATTAATTTGTTTTATAACTTTACCGCAATTTGCAGCTTAAATTTAATTTTAATAAGTATCCTCTCTTATTCATTAAAGTGGTCGGGGTGCAGTATCCCAGGTTCCTTAACTGTCATGCCAAACTTACCTTTCCCTAATCGCTTCCTCTTCTCTCCCTCTTTCAAGATCTGTTCTTTTTTTCCTATCTAATCTAGTTTTCTTTAAAACATAAGGCAAAGTACGGACTACTTTGTCTTATGTATTTTTCCTACGCTTGACCAGCTCTTACCCACTTCCTGAGGGTCAAATACATTTTTCCACAATACTCACCCTTTCCTCCGTGATCTCTCAATGCCTGCTTAAACCAACTAATCAGAGCGCTCTGAGTCAAATTGCAGGGCCTTGGAAGGCTTTCCCTGCCCTGCAGAGCTCAAGCTGCACGGTGCCCTCGCTGGGTGAAGATGGATTATTTTTTTTTGCACTCGGGTCTTTTTTTATTTTACACGTTCGACAGGCTTAATGGATTTTAATTTGGCCTTTTTTGTGGTTGAAAAAAGTAAAAAAAAAAAAAAAGAAAAAGAAATCAAATGGTAAGCATTTTTATTTTTTTTATTTACAGGTATTTAGTTGTATTGTTCCGCTTCACTATTTTTAGGGTGAGGGGAGTAGTTAGGGCTTTATTTTATTTTTTATGGGTAAGTGGGGTGACATACGAACGGCGGCTACTGGCATTTGGTGATTTGTTCGGTTGTCGAACAGAATACTGTTAGTATGGGAGGTGAATGCTATTTACCGAACAACCATGCGACCAGGGCAAATAGCAGTAAATCCAGGGACAAGGTGATCTGTCCCACACACAAAATCTGAGTAAAACATATGAAATAACAGGGGGAAGGATACGGACAGCCCATAGAGGGAATTAAGAGTAATGTCCACATGTTCATTCTGCTACAAATAGGTCCCCCCATTGTCTTTTAGGCCCCAACCACTGCTCATGGGTGGGGGCCGGGGGGAGGTAATAGGTCCTCCCCCACCATTGTCTTTTAGGGCCCCAGCCCCCCACCCACTGTTCATGGGTGGTGGCCGGGGGGACAATAGGTCTCCCCCATTGGCTTTTAGGGCCCACACCCGCCGCTCATGGGTGGGGGCCAGGGGTTCAATAGGTCCCCCCCTCATAGTCTTTTAGGGCCCCCACCCTCCACTCATGGGTGGAGACCCGGGGGAAACAATAGGTGTCGTCCCCCAACCACCACACATGGTTGGGGGCCGGGGGGAGGCAGTAGGTCCTCCCCCCATTCTCTTTTAGGGCCCACACCCACCGCTCATGGGTGGGCCCCAGGGGGATCAATAGGTCCCCTCCTCATAGTCTTTTAGGGCCCCCACCCGCCGCTCATGGGTGGAGGCCCGTGGGAAAACAATAGGTGTGTCACCCAACCGCCACTCAATAGGCAATAGGTCCTCCCCCCATTGTCATTTAGGGTCCCCACCAGCCGCTCATGGGTGGGGGCCAAGAGGGAGTCCAAAATGGAAAGTCTTGTGGGGTGTTCTTGGTTAGTGAGGAAGGAAAACTGGCATCAGGGTCATGGGCACCCAAGGCTCACTGATGCATACAGAAGATCTACAGTTGCTCATATTCCTGAAAAACATAATGCTGGCCATGATAGATAGGTGTCCAATCAAACCATGCATCACAGTTTGCTGCGTATGGGGCTGCTCAACTGTAGACCGGTCAAACTACCCATAATGACCACTGCTGAAAGCACCTTCAATAGGGACATGAGTGTCAGATTTGGACCATGGAGCAATGGAAGAAGGTTACCTGGTCTGATGAATCATGTTTTCTTTTAGATCAGATGGATGGCCGGTTGTGTGTGCATTGCTTTCATGGCAATGGTGTTCCCTGATGACAGAGATGCCTGCCACACTTGAAAATTGTTCAGGAAAGGTTTGAGGAACATGACAAAGAGTTCAAGGTGTTTCCTTGGTCTAAACATTCCTCAGATCTCAATGTGCATGAGCATTTGTGCAGTGTTCTGGAATAACAAAGCTGGGCAATGCAAATAGTGCTGCTATTCCTTGCAGTTACCTTGAGTTTGTTTCCAAGACTGGGTAATTTTAGCTTGTTTTCCTGTATGTGTAAATAAGTATTTTTCCAGTCATAAGTGTCCTTGAAAAAAAATGTAATTCATATGTATAGAATATCAAATTTGGATATATCTTTTTTTTAAATATTATATAATGTTGCTTTGTTTACAGTGTCATTGGCAAATACTACTGATTTCTCAAGCACAGCTACTACCTCAAATGATTCAGCTTCATCATCATTTACATCAAATGGGACCTCTGTATCCAGTACAATTCTACCATTATCAGAGACCTCAACTAACACAACTTCTTCATTATCTGAATCAGCTATTCTCATTAACACAACTTCATTAGCAGTAACTATATCTTCCACCAACTCTTTAGTACCAGCTTCATTGTCCTCAACCATTACAGAGTCACTACCAACTACATTTGCCTCAACCAACACAGGATCCTTAATAGTTACAGCCTCCTCACCAAACTCAAATTCCTTACCAGTCACAGACTCTTCAACCAGCACTGGTTCATTGCCAGCCACAACTTCCTCAAACAATATAACTTCTTTACCAGTTTCAGAACCCTCAAACAACTCAACTTCCTTAACAGTCACAGCCTCCTTAGGCAATACAACTTCCTTACCAGTTTCATCCCTCTCAAACAACGCAACTTCCTTACCAGTCACAGCCTCCTCAAATAATACAACTTCCTTACAAGTCACAGACTCCTTAAACAATGCAACTTCATTACCAGTTTCAGCCCTCTCCAACAATGCAACTTCCTTACCAGTCACAGCTTTCTCAAACAATACAACTTCCTTACCAGTCACAGCCCCCTCAAACAATACAACTTCCTTACCAGTCACAGCCTCCTCAAACAATACAACTTCCTTACCGGTCACAGCCTCCTCAAACAATTCATCTTCCTTACCAGTCACAGCTTTCTCAGACAATACAACTTCCTTACCAGTCACAGCCTCCTCAAACAATGCAACTTCCTTACCAGTCACATCTTCAAACAATACAATTTCCTTACCAGTCACAGCCCCCTCAAACAATACAACTTCCTTACCAGTCACAGCTTTCCCAAACAATACAGTTTCCTTACCAGTCACAGACTCCTCGAACAATGCAACTTCCTTACCAGTTTCAGCCCCCTCAAACAATGCAACTTCTTTGCCAGTCACAGCTTCCTCAAACAATGCAACCTCCTTACCAGTCACGGCTTCCTCAAACAATACAACTTCCTTACCAGTCACAGACCCCTCAAACAATATAACTTCCTTACCATTCACAGCTTCCTCAAACAATGCAACTTCCTTACCAGTAACAGCCCCCACAAACTATACAGCTTCCTTACCAGTCACAGCTTCCTCAAACAATACAACTTCCTTACCAGTCACAGCCTTCTCAAACAATGCAACGTCCTTACCAGTCACTTACTCCTTAAACAATGCAACTTCCTTACCAGTAACAGCCTTCTCAAACAATGCAACTTCCTTACCTGTCACAGCTTCCTCAAACAATACAACTTCGTTACCAGTCACAGCATTCTCAAACAATGCAACTTCGTTACCAGTCACAGCCTTCTTAAACAATACAATTTCCTTACCAGTAACAGCCTTCTCAAACAATGCAGCTTCCTTACCAGTCACAGACCCCACAAACCATACAGCTTCCTTACCAGCCACATCCTCCTCAAACAATGCAACTTCCTTACCTGTAACAGACCCCTCAAACAATACAACTTCCTTACCATTCACAGCTTCCTCAAACAATACAACTTCCTTACCAGTCACAGCCTTCTCAAACAATGCAACGTCCTTACCAGTCACTTACTCCTCAAACAATGCAACTTCCTTACCAGTCACAGCCTCCTCAAACAATACAACTTCCTTACCATTCACAGCCTCCTCAAACAATACAACTTCCTTACCAGTCACAGCCTTCTCAAACAATGCAACGTCCTTACCAGTCACAGCCTCCTCAAACAATGCAACGTCCTTACCAGTCACTTACTCCTCAAACAATGCAACTTCCTTACCAGTCACAGCCTCCTCAAACAATACAACTTCCTTACCATTCACAGCTTCCTCAAACAATACAACTTCCTTACCAGTCACAGCCTTCTCAAACAATGCAACGTCCTTACCAGTCACTTACTCCTCAAACAATGCAACTTCCTTACCTGTCACAGCCTTCTCAAACAATGCAACTTCGTTACCAGTCACAGCCTTCTTAAACAATACAATTTCCTTACCAGTAACAGCCTTCTCAAACAATGCAGCTTCCTTACCAGTCACAGACCCAACAAACCATACAGCTTTCTTACCAGCCACATCCTCCTCAAACAATGCAACTTCCTTACCTGTAACAGCCCCCTCAAACAATACAACTTCCTTACCATTCACAGCTTCCTCAAACAATACAACTTCCTTACCAGTCACAGCCTTCTCAAACAATGCAACGTCCTTACCAGTCACTTACTCCTCAAACAATGCAACTTCCTTACCTGTCACAGCCTTCTCAAACAATGCAACTTCGTTACCAGTAACAGCCTTCTCAAACAATGCAGCTTCCTTGCCAGTCACAGACCCCACAAACCATACAGCTTCCTTACCAGCCACATCCTCCTCAAACAATGCAACTTCCTTACCGGTAGCAGCCCCCTCAAACAATACAGCTTCCGTTCCAGTCACAGCTTCCTCAAACAATACAACTTCGTTACCAGTCACAGCCTTCTCAAACAATACAGCTTCCGTTCTAGTCACAGCTTCCTCAAACAATGCAACTTCGTTACCAGTCACAGCCTTCTTAAACAATGCAACTTCCTTACCAGTCTCAGCTCCCTCAAACAATACAACTTCCTTACCATTCACAGCTTCCTCAAACAATGCAACTTTCTTACCAGTAACAGCCCCCACAAACCATACAGCTTCCATTCCAGTCACAGCTTCCTCAAACAATACAACTTCCTTACCAGCCACAGCTTCCTCAAACAATACAACTTCGTTACCAGTCACACCCTTCTCAAACTATACAGCTTCCTTACCAGTCACACCTTCCTCAAACAATACAACTTCCTTACCAGTCACAGCCTTCTCAAACAATGCAACTGCGTTACCAGTCACAGCATTCTTAAACAATGCAACTTCCTTACCAGTAGCAGCTCCCACAAACCATACAGCTTCCTTACCATTCACAGCTTCCTCAAACAATACAACTTCCTTACCAGTCACAGCTTCCTCAAACAATACAACTTCCTTACCAGCCACAGCTTCCTCAAACAACGCAACTTCCTTACCAGTCACAGCTTCCTCAAACAATGCAACTTCCTTACCAGTCACAGCTTCCTCAAACAATGCAACTTCCTTACCAGTCACAGCTTTCTCAAACAATACAACTTCCTTACCAGTCACAGCTTCCTCAAACAATGCAACTTCCTTACCAGTCACAGCTTCCTCAAACAATACAACTTCATTACCAGTCACAGTCTCCTCAAACAATGCAACTTCATTACCAGTCACAGTCTCCTCAAACAATGCAACTTCCTTACCAGGCACAGTCTCCTCAAACAATGCAACTTCCTTACCAGTCACAGCCTCCTCAAACAATGCAACTTCCTTACCAGTCACAGCCTTCTCAAACAATACAACTCCCATAGCAGTCACAGCCACATCCAGTCGCACACTGTCATTAACAGCTTCTTCAGGATCAGTAATCAGTAACACTACTACAGCTGGTACTACATATACCACAATAGTATCCACTACAATTGCCACTGCTTCAGTCCCTTTGGATTTTAGAATTACCAGTATTCAATTTACGGACAACCTAACAAACCCTGATTCTGACGAATATAAGTCACTGAAGAACAATGTGGAAGATGGGGTAAGGATATGGAAAGATACATGCTAAAGTATATTATTTTATCATTTTAACATTTATACATATTATAACCTGTGAAGTACATGTATGTGACATTTATTCCTCGTCGATAGCCACAGAAGAGGCAATCATTATGAGATAGAGAGAGAGAGAGATACCTATAGACTGTAAGCTCGTTTGAGCCAGGTCCTCGTCAACCTATCGTTCCTGTAAGTTTTCTTGTGATTGTCCTATTTATAGTTAAATCCCTCCCTTATAATATTGTAAAGCGCTACAGAATCTGTTTGTGCTATATAAATGGCAATAATAATTATTAATAATAATAATAGATTAATAAAAATAGATATTAACATAAGAGGATATGTATTCTCCCCTAAAATTGGGCTGTTCACATTTTTAGCACAGTTAGCAAATCAGAAAGAATTTTCATTAGTCATATTCTAATTGCTGTAACATCCATTATATTTTGTTATTGGAACTATCTAACTATCCCTACAATAGCAGAGGTTCTTTCACTAATATTTGAAAGTAAATGTTATGAAATAGTCAACAGACAATTTACACCATTTCCAGAACTAAAACAGGATTAATGGGAAAATAATATTAAAAAGAAACACCAAGTGTAATGCATTGTTTAGATTATTAAAATCCATGGTCTTTTTTACAATTTTATTTGTATACACTATATTGTTAAACCTCTTTAAGTACATATTTTATTGGTTATCAAATGTTTCAGAATACATTTATTTTAGTTTTTCTAGCCAGAGATCCCTATATTTTTCTTTCACTTTGAAATAGTAACTTGGAACATATGAATAGATGTAAAACTAGGAATGGCTTCTTTAAGAAAGATTTCATTGGTTACCCTTATACAGTATCTGTACCATGAAATAATACCATCTTTCGGCTATCCATTTGAATTTGCAGATGAATAGCAGATGTTGCACTTTTTTATTTTTTTTATTTTATTCTTTATTTTTGCTGTGTGTGAAATAGCATTCGTATGTCAACAATGCCGCAGCAGCATTTGCAAACAGTTGAAGAAAAAAAAAAAAAAACAACCACATATTCGTTAACTGCTCTACAGCATTCAGGTTATATGCACAATTTTTGGTTAGTAATACAGGCTAGGTACAAGCTGGGTAACTATGTTTGTCATAAGGAATTATTTTGTCGATTAATAACAGTAGTTTAAAAATAGTGTTTATGTAGAGTGTCGTCGCTTAATTAGCAAGATATATTCTGTCTCACTGTGGAGTCACTATGTTAAACTTAAGCGTGTGTACAGTCGCTTTTATAAGTTTAGTAGTTTAGTAAGGGTGCAAATACAATGAGAGAGTAGAATGGCATGTAGTGAACACATTAAGCTTAACCGTCTGAGTGTATTTCCAGTCGCGGTCATTTGGGTAAGCAGGTCAAACACTAAGCGTGAAGTCCTGAGACTAGCCCATCTGGATCGTGTTAGTTTATCTGGGCTTCTCGTTGTGTGTGCCCAGCAAGCGCGCGTCCCAGCGCCATCGTGAAACAAGGCTGGTATCTCTAGGTGCAGTCCCTGGGTTCCCAATCTGTAGTGTCAGTCCACTCCGGTGTTTGGTAGGCGCCTCTTGTGCCCCAGTGGCGTCCTCCTGCGCTGTTTCGTTGGTCTGTGGCGGTGGTTATGGTGACTTAGGTCCAGGCTGGATTATATAGGTTGTTCCTGCTTGGGTGGAGGGTGAGTGGCTTGTTGTTTCTGTCCCTCTGGCTTGTTTCAGGTAGTTCTAGGCTCTATTGGTCTATGGGGGAATGCTTTATAAGGTTTGGTCAGTGGGGTTCCGCTTTGTGTATGCCCCATTTCTCCCTGCTTGATTGATGCCCCTGGCCTGTACCTTGATTTGCCCAGTGTAGTTTACCAGCATAGCCTTGGGACGGGCTGCCATGGTGGTCTGACTGTTTCTCCTCAAGCAGTTCGATCTTACAGGCCTTTTGCGCACATGGCTGGCGGTGGCCATCTTGTGGAGCTTTGCCCAGTGGATTTCTCTGGCCAGGGCGGTTGTTTGGGCCCAGCTTAGGGTGGTGTGTGGTGCCCTTGCAGACCGGGATAGCCCCCCCCCGGTCCAGAGGGGGGGGGGGAGCAACACGCCTGCCGGAGACCCGGGACAGCGTCCGTCTTGTCCCGGCTCAAGCTCCAGCGAGAACTTGTCCCTTGTCGGGTTTCTGTCGGTGCCGAGTAGGGTCTTGGGCTTTATCCCCACGTACTCCTGTGTTTGGGGGTCGGAGTAGTCACCGTTGTGGCGCTAAGTTTGCGGTTGGCCCCCAATTTGCTCCAATTTTCAGGCCCTGGAGTGGGAGCTCAAACAGAGCACGTCTGATCCCGTCGGCGGTCAAGCCCCGCCCCCGATGTTGCACTTTTTAATGCCATTTTAAAACTTTATTTTCATTGTGCTACTTTTTGCTATAATTTTTTTTGTAGTAATACTTTATAATTATACCTTATCTTTACATATCATATTTTCTTGCAGCTGACTCCTGTTTACAGAAGCAAATTCAGTAACTTTCAAAGTGTCCGGGTCACAAACTTCAGGTAATTAAGGATTAACTTGGTTATAATGCTGAAATAAAAAATCTGAACATCTGTATAAATTATATACGATACATTTCGGGTGGGAAAACATGAGAAATAAAGATAAAAAATTGTAATAAAAAATGTAGTTGATGGTTATAAAGCATGAACTTTTTCCATTGCACTTTATAATGGGTAAGAATACAGAAAAGTATTTGCAACAAGTCATGTCCGTCAAACATGATCAAGAGATAGTGAGGATTCTACTCAAACAAGTTTATATTCTACAGGGAGAGAGGGTCTATTTACACAACTAATGGTTAACCGCAGTCTGTTAAAACTAATGATTGATTGGTGGGTGCATTCATAATTAAAATATTTAAAGAGAGTAGAAGAAGCTGTAATTAGTGAAAACAAATTCAAGATAAGTCAAAGAAAATGCCCACTCGCAATTTGTTTTCCCTTCCTAAAGAAGTGGGGTAAAGGGTTACATTTTCTTAAAAGGCGAAAGAAAGGGGAAAGGCTATTTGGGCTGGATAGGGAATTTCGTAAGAACAATGCAGCCCTATAGAAGAATTTTGTAAGAATAGTCCAGACCTAGAGAAGTCTTGTTGGTGAGAGTCAGTGGGCAAATGTGAACAGAGGAGGTCAAAAGAAAGGCAGAAGATCATAGAGTTTGGGATGGGACATATTTGCTTTTTATGGAAGATCTGAAGTGTGGAGAGCTCACATGAATACATATATTTAAAATTAGAATTATTAAGCAAACAATTTGTGTCAGTGTTAATTTATTATTATTTAAAAAAGAGTGGGCAGTTTTTATAACTCATAGATGAAATTTTGAAATATGCTGGTTGGTGCACTCAATGTGATATGTATCTTGTATATATTAATGACGTCTGTTTGCTACAACAATTGTTGTTACTTATTTTAGCCTTTATCTGAGCCTATATCTGGTGCCTCCAGTCTCTGATTTTAAGGAACCCACAGTAGGTAATGAGATATTTTTGTTTAGACATCCTCTCACCAAGCACAAATGCTGGGAGTCTGGGTCTACTTGTGGGCCAACACAATGAAGACTGAAAGTAAAAAATATTACATAACCCATTTATGTTTAAATGTCTTCTCATTAATAACCTCTTGTAACTTTTTTTTCTCATAGTAAAGGCTCAGTGATTGTTACCTCTGAGCTTCAATTTAACGTCACATCCGAATCAGCACCCACTCCAGATAACACAGTGCGTGCTATGGTTAGCAGCCTAGGAAGTAATTCATCTGTTGGGACTTTTCAACTAGACCAAACCAGCATCACTTCTAAAGGTAAGCGTGATACCCCCTGGCTAAACCACAACCACTGTGTTTCATGATCAAATAAGGATATAACAATGTCCTACCCCAGAGTTCAGTGTTCTGGCAAGTTTCTAGCATGGGCATAGATCATGTGGTATAAATATCTATTGACTTATATAGCGCATAAACAGGTTCTACTCCTATGTGCTCAGCACAGGACAGACTGGATAAATTTTTGATGGATTTGCCTTTCTAAGAGGTACTCTTAAGGGGACAGTATATGCAACATGAATGGGTTACATCCCTGTGAGGGTTTTATTTTTATTTTTTTGTCCAACAATTCGGGTATGATTTTACAAAACAAAACAGTTCTCACCCAGAGAACCCTACATTGGTAATGGAGAATTTACACTGAAAAAAAGCATTTAATGGTGTCCATAACCTGTAGTGGCTATGTTACTTCGAGCCCCTCATTTAGGGTTTTGTGTTTTGAAGTGGTCATGGTGCCTGGAGTTTGTATGTGCAGAGTTTTTCTTTGAAGCCCTCCAAATGCAGAATTCAACCTCTTCACTGCTGAAGGGGTAACCTCACCTCCGGCTGTGTCATTTTCCAGCCTGGAACAAGAGTCCTGGCTGATTAATGTCAGTTGTGCGCGTAGTAGGCATCAGTTGTCATTACGCACAGCATGCTGAAGACCGGTGTAAAATGGAAGCACGGCCCCCTCTTCCTACCGCCCATATCCTGGCCCTCCTCTTTCTATATCCCTCCATTTGCAGCTAGGGGAGTGACATCAGAGGAAGAGGGGAATATTTGGCCTCATTAACAGAACCCAGGTAAGTTTTAGCTTTCTATTTTATTTTATTTTTAAACCTCGACCGGGGGTAACAGGATTTTCTTAAAACATTGATTTGTTATTGGAGTACACATTTAAAGATATCCTTAAATGATATGTGTATGTCCCTAGTCTTCAATCATTTAAGAAGGGCCTTAAAACCCATCTCTTCAGGAAAGCTTATGGCCTCCCAGAGTAATCTCTACCTTACATACCTGTCTCCTGCTCTCTCCTATGGGACAGTGCTTTGCTCTCTCCTCCAGCTCTGCTTCACTCCTACTTGATATTTATTGTCCTAATGTTTCAAATACCCCACCTCCAATAGTCTGTAAGCTCGTTTGAGCAGGGTCCTCTTCAACCTATTGTTCCTGTAAGTTTTCTTGTAATTGTCCTATTTATTGTTACACCCCCCCTCTCAAAATATTGTAAAGCGCTACGGAATCCGTTGGCGCTATATAAATGGCGATAATAATAATAATAATAATATGCGCAATATTGTCCATTTGTTTAATACACATGTTATATTTTTATTTATGCCCACAGATGTCAATATAAGTAATTTGTCTCCTCTCAATGTAAGTGTCAGCTGTGTTCTTGTAAGACCATTTAACGCGTCAGAAACAGGGGACCTGAAGACTCAGATTGTGGCATGGGTATGTTATGTTTCAGTATTAAAGTATAACACCTGGTAACAACCAATCAAAACATGGCTTATTAGAAGCTCCACAGACATTCTCTGAAAAGAATTCCTAACGGAATGAATTTCCTACTCTGACTGATTTAGAGACTTTGGGTTCTTTTCAAATTGTAGGGAATTACAGACTTTTATTTTTAGAGAAAACTCTAATTTGGCTACAGTCATAGCTTGCCAGTTTTAGCTGATAAATTGCAATTGGTTTTCAAGTATGAAGAAAATAAACTCCCAAATTAACTGAACTATCAAAACTAATCATCTTTAAACTGACCTAAATTAGTATTGGATATCGTGAAATAGCTTCAAGCTCATGAATTTGCTCAGTGCCTCACTGTAGAACATTTCCAAAGTGAGTAGCATATATAAATAAAATAAACAATTGCTTACAATATTTACATTCCAGGATTTAAATGTTTGACACTGACATCCACTTGAGCAGGGGCACCCAAGAGGTAGATCCCCAGATGTTTTAAGACTACAGCTTCCATGACACTTTGTCGTTCTAAAGGCATGTGAAGCATTGTGGGACTTGTAGTTTTATCATATCTGGGGATCTATCTTTTTGGCACTCCTGCACTAGAGGCTCTCCCTCCGAAAAATAGCCAAGTAAAACTGCTTTTTCTATCAGTTGGTCTCAAAGAGGGATGATTAATGCCTCCATCAACCTGACTAGCTGGAATGCTTCACACAGACTATACACATATCTTACCTGCAAATGGCTCTGTCAAAAGACATAAACATGTTTTTAAAAAATGGTAACATTTTGAAAATATGTTTAAAGTGACACTCTCTGGACCCCTGAGAAAAGGTTCATATGTGAAGAGTGTGTTTTGTTTTATTCATTTTACAAAAAGTGCATTTTCCAATAAAACTAGGCAGTTTTAATAATTAACCTTTTTACACCTCATGGCTTTCAATCAGCCAATCGGTTATGTTACCATACGTATCCTGTTGGCACTCAGTATACAAGCATAACAGGTCTTCTATAGTATCAATGGGAAATGGGAATATGTTTTGTATGAAGTAACAATATTGAGAAAATGACTGTTACTTTTGTTTCTCCAGGTGCAGCCAATTTTACTAAACCTTCTCAATGGTACAACTGTCTCCACCATATTTCTAACCGAGTAAGTGATACATATTCAAGTTCTGTTTGTTAAAAGATGTTAACCCTGTAATGTCTGCATTGTAAAAACACCAATATTTCACTGGTCTGAAAACTAGAAAGACAATGTCCTGTCCAAAATCTATCCTGGAAAACATGTTTATAAGTAAATATATAGATATCTGTTAGTTACCTTTTTTCTAGCACAGAGGTTAAGTCTGTGCAGCCGCCCTCTCCAACACCTTTTTCTACTTTTTGTCCAATACAGTGCTTCTGTTAGTGTCGAGAAGTGAGTCTGACTTGCTTGTCACAGAGGAAGCACCATCTTGTAACTTTCAGTGTAACAGTTTAAGCCTTGTAATGGAAACATTGCCATATCCCTAAAACAGCAATGCTTTACATTGCGGGAACAAAACATCAGGGGCACTGCACCCATGTCACTTCACTGAGATAAAGTGGTCTACAGTGGTCTACAGTGTCCTTGTAAAACAATGTCCCCCTTTACTTTGAATCAAAAATGTCCTTTAAGCCATACTGGCCCGATCGTACTGCATAAGGCAGAACCGTATAAGTGTATGATATTAGATCTTTTGAAACACTAGGTAATTATAACAAAGGAGGAAGCAGTAGGTCTAGGCCAGTGGCGCCCACACGGTAGATCCCCAGATGTTGTAGAGCTAGAACTCTGCAAACCTTTGGAATGCCTTTAGAATGGCAATAGCTATAGTTTTAAAACATCCCGGGATCTACTTTTCAGGCATCGCTGGTCTCGGGCTGGCAATAATTAAATCTTGATAACATTGTCTGTAATACAGAGAGTAAATGCATTTTTACGTTTTATTTTGAATCATTTCAGGAATTCTAGTGGCTGGACCAATTTTACTGCATACTTTGCTGTTAACACCCTCCAGCTATTGAATAACACTGATGCTCTGACTACAACTTTATCATCTAGAGGAAATATTTCCATTATACCAGCCAGTCTAACCATCCAAGGTGAGATATTTTGAATGTCACAGTGTTTTGCTCTCACCACAGTGAAGCATGTACTCTAACTGGCTTATACATTTTAATAGGGAGCACTTTGACTTTCAATACTATTACCATTGAACCTGGATTTCTCAACGTGACTCAAACATCCGACCTCACTAGTAGAAACAGTAGCGGGTTCCAGAATCTTTCCAATCTTATACAGAAATCGGTAAGCATCATAAAAGTAAATGACTGAATTTTACCAAATAGTACTATATTTAAATTGAATCTGCTATGTGCATTTCTGTTTCCTTCAATGAGCTATCGTAACAGTGTTCCTTATTCGCTTCCAATCTAATCAGCTGTCAGGCTCATCCAGGGGTCCTTTAAGGGACACTAGTCGCGTCCACTACAGCTTAATATAGTCAGTTCCTGCAGGCTCTCTGCAGAGAAAAGTCAGTGTTTACATTGCTCCCTAGGGACACCTCCAGTGGCATAGGATTATTTATATAGGTTTGCAGTTCAGTCTCTTTGGATTAGAGGTTGTACTGCAGTAACAGATCTTTTATGATAGATGCCAATATAATCTGGAATATTTGTAAATCCAATGTAGGAGTAACGCCGGTAGCAATAAATTAAAGTTCAATATAGCTTTAAGCAGGTTGGAAGTCAAGTAGGAATGTAGGGTTGTTCAGGCTGGTATGGTGCAGGTTTGTAAATAAAGGAGGAATGTAGAGTTGTTTAGCCAAGTCTGGAGCAGTTTGGGGAGTAAAGCAGGTTTTGAAGCCAATAAGGTAAGTCCACAGGTTATAACATTGGAGCCAGGATTTGAAGTCTTTCACGCAAACATCAACTTCAATGTCAAGGCCATGAGGTGAGTTGGGTGTGACCTTTTATAGGATCTGAATTAGTCAAGGCAGGAGAGGATGAGATGGGAATCTCTGTGCTAGAGGTTAGGGAGGCCACTAGTGGCAAATTAAATCAGTGCAGGAACTTTGTTTTTAAAGGAACAGAATAAACAGAACAACAAGTCTTGTTTGTCATGATAGGATCCTGACACAATGGAAGATCAGACAAATTCGGTTTCTTGAGGCACTCTATTTTTGGACAATTGATATCAAGCAGAAGAAACCATCATTACGTCTATCAACACACTACACATATCTAGATTTACAATGTAACTATCCCGTTGTGACAAGGGGCTGGACAACTAAATTCTTAAAGGATCACTATAGGGTCAGGAACACAAACATGTATTCCTGACCCTATAGTGCTACACCCACCATGTAGGTTCTCTGAAAAGGCAGTGTTTACATGAAAATGCCTGACGGGAGCTATTATACTCACCAGAACAACTACATTAAGCTGTCATTGTTCTGGTGACTATAGTGTCCCTTTAAATACGTTGGCAGTTCTCACAAGTCAATTGTCATGAAGGTGTTATAAAGTAACGGTTATTGAAATATATTATACAATAGGTTAGCTATAATATTATTAATAATATATATATATATATATATATATAAAACAGTTTCTTCTGGAGCAAATTACCAGCATTTCAAAATAACATTAGAGGGTTCTAATCTGTTAAATGAATCTGTTGTGTTAGCCAGGATCTAGAAATGCAAGTTAGATGACTTGTAGAATAAGTTCTGTCCTTTAAATGCTTATACAGTTTTCTTCTCTCATAGTTCAAGAACATATTTGGCAGTGATTTAGTGGAGCCCGTTGTAACCAGCTATAGGTATGTATCTTATTAATTTAATTCGCAAGAGTCATTTCTTTTTTAAAACTGCGCAAATTATTCTAATTATATATATATATAAATTATATAATGATATATATCATTATCAATGTTATGTCCGTCCAACTGGACAAAATTGATTGGTTGACAGCATGTCACGCACTAAGAGGAATGCTGCCGTTCTCCTACCTGTCCAGTCGCCGCCCGTCGGGTCCACGTGGTTATGGGAATGCCGCCCATCACTCACCCCTAATGGTGGCTCCTCCTCCTCTCACAGCGGCCGGGTCTGTAAACATTACAGATGACGGCCACTGCAGCTTTCAAGAATTTAAGGGGGTTTATGCTTAACCCTTAAATTGCCAGATCAATTTTTATCTTTCAGGTGTATCACACACACGCCCTCGATCACATGCTTCCCTGTAGCCAATCAGGGAGCACATTGGACTATATAAGCCTGTTTTGTCTATTTCTCTGTGCCCTGTCATGGTTTCCATTGTGATTATCCAAGAGCGCGTTCCTTATATTGATTCTTGTGTATTTGACCTTAGCTTCCCTTTTGACTATCCGATCTCTGTATTCCTTGACCTTTGATTTGACTCCTGACTATTCTGAATTCTCCATTCTTTGACTCGTGGCTTGTTCATCGTTTCTGTTATTTATACGTCTTGTCTTTATCCTGTCTTGTGTTTTTTTTTCCTTTATACGTTAAATCCGGCCATTCTAAGGTCCAGTAAAATGTCATAGGAATTTTTTTCATATCTATTTTCTTCATAAATTCTGCGTGTTGGGCATCAGCTATTCCTGACACAGCGCTAGGGGTGGTTTAGCCCCAAGCTCTCAGCTAATCTTTGTTGCCATTGACACGTATAATGCAGAAATGTTAAATGTTTACTCCAAACACCATAACCACTACTGTCTACTATAGTGGAGTATCTTGGCAATATTCCCCAGTAAAATTGGCAAACTGTTTCAAAACAGTTGGCCCCCCCATTAACCTGGTACCGCTGGGCTCTGACAGTCCAATGATGGCGGTTAAACCACATCCAGCTTTTGCAGAGTTACAGATGCTAGATGCTGGTCCAGTCAGCAAGTCATTGGCTAAATATCAGCTGATCACTCTCGTCCAATGAATGACATTCTGTGCATAGAAATATGCACACACCTATGCTGGCTAATGATTTCCCAGTGATGCTGTTAGAGGTAGAGTCACACATCCGTCAGAAAAGGGGTTAAACTTCGTAGGTGCCATTTTTTATAGCAAAACACTGACACACATACAGATTCCAAACACCATCACCACTTCAAATCATTAAATTGGTCATGGTGCCTGGAGTAACTCTTTAATTGTGCATTATCAATATCCCCAAGATAGGGATGGTCTCTGGACATTTTTAGATGGTTTGATATAAACTGAGAGATGGCACAAGGGGACTCTAGAAATTCTTGATGGAAACCAAGTTTTAACAATTCCATCGTGACAATGAGCTAGAGCCAGGAGTAGGCAACCTTCGGCACTCCAGATGTTTTGGACTACATCTCCCACAATGCTGTTATAGCCATAATGCTGGTAAAACATCATGGGATGTGTAGTCTACAACATTTGGAGTGCAGGAGGTCACCTGACGCTAAGTTAGACCAATTCTATTATATATACTGGCAGCTTCTCTGTGTAGTGAAAACACAGCAGCATGTAACTTTATATAACTTTATTCATTACCCACAGGTTATTGCTCAGTGATGTTTTGGCCTCTGTGGATCTTTACTTCCAAAGTAGTGTGAATAGAACTACGGTTGTAGCTAAAACAGTAGCCAGTGGAGCAGCGTTCACAAACAATGGTCTCACATTGGACCCTTTAACATTATCTCCTCAAGGTGAGTCAATACGCAGAGATTCAGTATGGTTTGCGTGATATTTGTGTTGGAAAATAATACCCCAAAATATTGGTGAACACCTGGGGTATGTAGAACCATTTCTAGCATGTGCATAAATCATATGGTATATAGCTATTGACTTAAAGAGCACTTATAGAGCTACTTCTTTGTACTTGGCACAGGACAGACAGGATAAACGTTTGATGAATTTGCTTTTTTAAGAGGTATTGTAAAGGGGCAGTTTATGCAACGAATGGGTGAGAGCCCCTTGTTTTTGTTTTCAAACAATTTGGGCACAATTTTACAAAACAAAACGTACCCAGAGAAACCTACATTGCTAATGGAGAATTTACACTGAAAAAAATCATGTGACGGTGTCCATACCCTGTTGTGGTTATGTTACTACTAGCCCCCCATTTAAGGATTGGTGTTTTGAAGTGGTCATGCTGCCTGGTGTCTTTATGAGCAGAGTTTCGCTATGAAGCCCTGCACATGCAGATTTTAACCCATTTGCTGCTGAAGGGTTACCTCCCCCTCTGGCAGTGTCATTTGCCAGTCTGGAACAACAGTGCTTGGCTGGTTAATGTCAGTTGTGTGCGTATTAGAAATCAATTGTCAGTACAAAGCGTGCTGAAGACAGTCATAAAATGGAGACACGGCCCCATCTCCATGCCACACATATCCTGCCCTAAGCCCCTCCTCTATATCTCTCCCACTGCAACTAATGACATCAGAGGAAGAGGGTTAGGCAGAGGGGAAAATGTGGCCTCATTAATGGAGCAAGGGTACTTTTTAGCTTTCTATTTTAGTTTATTTTTGAACTTCGACCAGGGGGGTAACATGATTTTCTTAAAACACTGATTTTTTTATGGAGTACCACTTTAAAGATATCCTTAAATGATATGTGTATGTATTCACAATATTGTCCATTAGTTCAATACAAATGTTGTATTTTTTTATTCCCACAGATGTCAATATAAGTACAACTTCCTTACCACTCACAGCTTTGTCAAACAATACAACATCCATACCAGTTTCAGCTTCCTCAAGCAATACTACTTCTATACCAGTCACAGCTTCCTCAAACAATACAACTTTCATACCAGTCACAGCTTCCTCAAACAATGCAACTTCCTTATTTGTGACAACCTCCTCCAACAATGCAACTTCTACAGCAGTCACAGCTTCCTCAAACAATGCAACTTCCTTACCAGTCATATCTTCAAACACTATAACTTCCTTACCAGTCCCAACTTCCTCAAACAATACAACTTCCTTACCAGTCACAGCTTTCTCAAACAATACAACTTCCTTCCCATTCATACCTTCCTCAAACAATGCAACTTCCTTACCAGTCACATCTTCCTCAAACAATACAACTTCCTTACCAGTCACAGCCCCCTCCAACACTGCAACTTCTATACCATTCACAGCTTCCTCAAACAATGCAACTTCCTTACCAGTCCCAACTTTCTCAAACAATACATCTTCCTTACCATTCACAGCTTCCTCAAACAATGCAACTTCCTTACCAGTCCCAACTTCCTCAAACAATACAACTTCCTTACCAGTAACAGCTTTCTCAAACAATACAACTTCCTTACCATTCACAGCTTCCTCAAACAATACAACTTCCTTACCAGTCACAGCCCCCTCCAACACTGCAACTTCTATACCATTCACAGCTTCATCAAACAATGCAACTTCCTTACCAGTTCCAACTTCTTCAAACAATACAACTTCCTTACCAGTCCCAGCTTCTTCAAACAATACAACTTCCTTACCATTCACAGCTTCCTCAAACAATGCAACTTCCTTACCAGTCCCAACTTCTTCAAACAATACAACTTCCTTACCAGTAACAGCTTTCTCAAACAATACAACTTCCTTACCAGTCACAGCCCCCTCCAACACTGCAACTTCTATACCATTCACAGCTTCCTCAAACAATACAACTTCCTTACCAGTCACAGCCCCCTCCAACACTGCAACTTCTATACCATTCACAGCTTCCTCAAACAATGCAACTTCCTTACCAGTCCCAACTTCCTCAAACAATACAACTTCCTTACCAGTCACAGCTTCCTCAAACAATGCAACTTCCTTACCATTCACAGCTTCCTCAAACAATACAACTTCCTTACCATTCACAGCTTCCTCAAACAATGCAACTTCCTTACCAGTCCCAATTTCCTCAAACAATACAACGTCCTTACCAGTCACAGCTTCCTCAAACAATACAACTTCCTTACCAGTCACAGCTTCCTCAAACAATACAACTTCCTTACCAGTCACCGCCCCCTCCAACACTGCAACTTCTATACCATTCACAGCTTCCTCAAATAATGCAACTTCCTTACCAGTCCCAGCTTCCTCAAACAACGCAACTTCCTTACCAGTCCCAACTTCCTCAAACAATACAACTTCCTTACCATTCACAGCTTCCTCAAACAATGCAACTTCCTTACCAGTCCCAACTTCCTCAAACAATACAACTTCCTTGCCAGTCACAACTTCCTCAAACAATACAACTTCCTTACCAGTCACAGCCTCCTCAAACAATACAACTTCCTTACCAGTCACAGCTTCCACAAACAATGCAACTTCCTTACCAGTCACAGCCTCCTCAAACAATACAACTTCCTTACCAGTCACAGCTTCCACAAACAATGCAACTTCCTTACCAGTCACAGCCTCCTCAAACAATACAACTTCCTTACCAGTCACAGCTTCCACAAACAATGCAACTTCCTTACCAGTCACAGCTTCCTCAAACAATACAACTTCCTTACCAGTTACAGCCTCTCCCAGTAGCACACTGTCATTAACAGCTTCTTCGGGATCAGTAATCAGTAACACTACTACAGCTGGTACTACATATACCACAATAGTATCCACTACAATCGCCACTGCTTCGGTGCCTTTGGATTTTAGAATTACCAATATTCTATTTATGGACAACCTAACAAACCCTGATTCTGACGAATATAAGTCACTGAAGAACAATGTGGAAGATAGGGTAAGGATATGAAAAGATACATGCTAAAGTATATTATTTTATAATTTTAACATTTATACATAATATAACATGTGAAGTACATGTATGTGACATTTATTCCTTGTTGATAGCCACAGAAGAGGCAATCATTATGAGATAGATACCTATAGACTGTAAGCTTGTTTGAGCAGTGTCCTCTTCAACCTATCGTTCTTGTAAGTTTTCTTGTAATTGTCCTACGTATAGTTAAATCCCCCCTTTTATAATATTGTAAAGTGCTACAGAATCTGCTGGTTCTATATAAATGACAATAGTAATAAGAATAGATAAATATAGATATTAAAAAGGAAAAAGAGTAAGCGCTAAATAACAGAGAAGCTGCAACCTATAGATGGAATCCCTCAAAAACCCCTCAAAGATAATAAAGATAAAAAACAGATAAAAATTTATCTGTTTTTTAAATATAGATATTAACATAAGAGGATGTGTATTCTCCCCTAAAATTGGGCTGTTCGGATTTTTAACACAGTTAGCAAATCAGAAAGAATTTTCATTAGTCATATTCTAATTGCTGTAACATCCATTATATTTTGTTATTGGAACTATCCCTACAATAGCAGAGGTTCTTTCACTAATATTTGAAAGTAAATGTTATGAGCTAGTCAGCAGACAATTTACACCATTTCCAGAACTAAAAACAGGATTAATGGGAAAATAATATTAAAAAGAAACACCAAGTGTAATGCATTGTTTAGATTATTAAAATCCATGGTCTTTATTACATTTTTATTTGTATACATTATATTGTTAAACCTCTTTAAGTACACATTGTATTGGTTATCAAATGTTTCAGAATATATTTATTTTAGTTTTTCTAGCTGGAGATCCCTATATTTTTCCTGTAATATTTTTCTTTCATTTTTGATATAATAATGTGAATAGATGTAAAACTAGACATGGCTTTTTAAAGAAAGATTTAATTGGTTACTCTTATATGGTATCTGCACCATGAAATAATACCATCTTTCAGCTTTCCATTTGAATTTGCAGATGAATAGCAGATGTTGCACTTTTTAATGCCATTTTAAAACTTTTTTTTATTGTGCTACATTTTTGCTATTATTTATTTGTAGTAATACTTTATAATTATACCTTATCTTTACATATCATATTTTCTTGCAGCTGACTCCTGTTTACAGAAGCAAATTCAGTAACTTCAAAAGTGTCCGGGTCACAAATTTCAGGTAAGTAAGGATTAACTTGATGGTTATAATGCTGAAATAAAAAATCTGAACATCTGTATAAATTATTTGTGCTCGGAATTTAATACGTAATGGATAGTATCTGAAAGGGCAAAGTTGGTTGTGGTGTGCCGAAACCAACATACAAGTGGGCCTGTAAATAAAAGAGGGCAAAAGAGAAGTTCGAGAAAATACATACTTTATTGCCTTTTTTACATAACCAAGTTCCTGAAAGCTTGACAAAGCTCTTTTTCTGGTTGCGGTATATAAGTATGATATATGGAGGATTTCCAACGACCCAGTCTCTTGATGATGTGGACTGGGGTGTTTGTGCTAGAGGCTGATGAAGCGGCTCCTATGCGGAATGAGTGCCCGGAAAATGAAGCCGGATTGTAACCCAGTTTGGATAGTAGTGTCCTGACGAGTGTCGTGAATTTAGCCGTGGTGAGCGGGTGCCCTTGTAGTGATAAGAGTGGCGAGTCTGGTAAGTGCGCGTGATGGGTTGACCATAGGTGATCTAGCGCTTTGACCGGACACCAGGCATTATCGGTAGGGAAGAGAGGAATTATGGTGGGGTGTTGTGAGTGGTTAGTTTTAGTTGATGGGATCGTAAGTAGGTAGTGATCCTCCACCTTAGTGAGGTGTGATGTTTTTAGGCTGTGCGTGATATCTCCTTGACAAGCAACGGTGAACTCTCTGGGTCTGAGAAAACCGTAGAAAGCAAGATAAATAGCGGATTTGATGACCAGGTTTGTGTTGGGATCGAACGGGGATTCATCAAGGAGATTGCTAAGTGATCTAAAGATGGGTCCGTCTATAGGTAGTCTAGTAGTGGTGAGTGGGACCGAAACCTTTAATATAACTTTCAGGACCTTTTTAATGGGATATGATGACAAGAAGGGGGTGTTGTTAGGAAAATTGGAGAGGCTATGGTGCTGAACCCCGGTGAGGTAAAGTTTAATGGTGTTGTGAGAAAGTTTAAGATGTAAGTGGCAGAAAGAGGCAAAAGCCACCATGGTTTGTGTAGAGAAGTGGCCTTGTAAACCGAATTCTGCAGTAAATTTGTTAAAAATGGTAAGTGCCCTATTGTATGAGATAGTTGTGTTGGGTGATAGTGCTTGGTGAATGAGAGTCCTAGCGTGGTGCATAAGTGTGCTTAATCCAGGATTAGCTCGTGAAATCGTGGTGTCCTGGATGGCTGGTGGTGAGCCGTAGGGAGTGCCTGGAAGAATACCTGGAATTGAGAGCGAGAAAGAGCATCAGCAGCCGTGTTGTGGGTGCCCGGGATGTGAAAACAAACTATATGAAACTGGACGGTTGCTGCCAGCCAGGTCAGCTTGCGAATCAGCCGCATGATGGTAAGGGACGATGAGCGCCCTTTGTTTATGAATTTGCAAGCCGCCGAGTTATCAGAATAGCATTTTACTGCCATGCCGGACCAGAGATGACCCCAGGTGTGTGCGGCCGCCGCGATTGGATACATTTCGAAAAGGGCTGAGGTCTCCCTGAATCCTGGCAAGGCATCCGTCTCAGCGGGCCAGTGACCCCTGAACCAGTGGTTCCCGAAGATGGCTGCGAAACCTGTGTTGGCTGCAGCGTCTGTGTGGATGATGGGTGAACAAGTGGAGAGAGGGGAGATAAACATGAAGATACCATTCCAATCTGCCAAAAACTTCCCCCACATAGCTAAGTCGGCCTTTGTGTGGGGGTCCAAAGAAACTGAGTCCGGTACTCCGTGGAGCAGGCAAAGAAGCCTAGATATAAAAGACCTTCCCTGTGGGATGATGCGCATGGTGAAGTTAAGGGATCCCAGAAGGGACTGAAGTTCCCTTCTGGTGCTAACTTCCTTCCGCGGGAACATGTCTATCTCCCCTCTCAAGCGGAACAGTTTGTCTTGGGGAAGGCTAGCTTTTTAGGGTAACAGTCTAGCTCTATCCCCAAAAAGGTTAATTTAGTTGTGGGGCCAATTGTTTTTGATGGCGACAATGGTACACCAAGTGTGGAAAAAAGTGCTGTAGTACTGCTGATAGTGGTAAGAAGTCGTCTAAGTAATGGATAACAGAGTGACACCTGAGGACATTCAGAAGCAGCCAGCATAGTGTTTCAGCAAAGATATCGAACAGTTTGGGGCTGCTTCTAGAACCGAAAGTGAGTCGAGTGGAGAAGTAGTACTTTTCTCGCCATTTAACACCGTGCAAGTGCCAGAGTGAGGGGTGTATGGGTAGTAATTTGAAAGCGTTTGTGATGTCCATTTTAGTGCGCCAGGAGGAAAACGGTGAGGAGGTGAAGGGGCCGATCATGAAACCGTTGGTAATTTCTGCGGAAAGGAGGGTATCTGTGGAGATTGGATCTTGGCATGCTGACAATAAATTGAGACATACCAGTGTGAAACCGTGAAAAAACGCTGAGTGAATCCAGTGGTCAGATATTCCGCCAAATGTCTGCTAGGGTGTGTTCTGCCGGGCACATGGTCTTGGTATGTGCCCTAAAGCATATAGAACAGATGTGCAGCAATCTACAGGCGCTGAAACTGCAGGAGCCTGCGTTGAAATTATTGCACACCTGAGCTTTACCTAGGAAGGAGATGGGCCTACCCAGCTTATCACATAGACCGTCCGCTGATTTGTTGTGAGGGGTGAAAATGGGATTAGGGGTGGGAGTGGAGGTGGTGGGATAGGCTTCTGAAGGACATAAGTCTGCCGTATGAGATGCAGAGTTACATACGGCGTAAGATGGGGGCCTGAGACCAGTGAAGTGGCGACAGAATAGTTCTGTGTCCATCTGACACCAGTTAATTCTGACATTGAACTGTTTCAGATGGGTCGCCACCTTCGCTGATACCGACTTATGATAGTCGTAAAAAGAGGAGCCCCCATACTTGATACCTAAAGCCACCACCTTGTGGAGGTAGAGGTCTAGCTCTTCTCTTCTGTGGGGATACACCGTGCAGATGACATCACGGTATATCCCAAAGGCAATCACGAACTGAGGTATGGTTAGTTTTTTATTGAGTCTGGGGTCTCTAGTCTTAAGCACCACTGAGATGTCCCCGTAATTGTATGCCCTGTTCTCCAGTATGTCTTGGGATGCTATAAGCAGAGACACCAGACACACGTCCTTCCCATCTAGGATTTCTTTCCTGATGGAGTCTGGGACGGAGTGAGCTGGTGACTCGAAAGGAGAAGTAGCTGTGGCTGGTGCTGGAGGAGGGAGTATGGGGGGGTACAACAGGGACCGCCGGGGTGGCGACTGGGAGGCCCGGGGTATTACCTGGGGAGGCGATGGCGCTCTCCACCTTAGATAGCCTGTTGTTTAAAGTCTGTAAGTTGGCCAAGATTGCTGCTAGGGTATCCTGGGTGGACGTGCCAGCGCTGTCCTTGAGAGCTAGTGCCTGGCCTAGGTTCAGGGGCTTGGTAGGTGAGCAGTCTGTAGAGTTCCGCCTTTGTAGCTGTATCTGGAAAGGGGATTCCCCTGAGCCTAAGTTTGGCCTTAATTTTAGGGATAGTCCATGCTCTCAAGGACGTGGGAGTTGAGGGGGTGAGAGATTCGCATGGAGACTCTGGTCTGATGGACGTAAACGGGATCTCCTCTGGCAACTCTTCGATGGGGGCTGGTTCTTGAGACATTCTAAAAATGATTCAGTGAATTAAATATTAGAAGGTGAGTAGGGGAACCGGGAGGGATATGAGGGGGGTATTTTATGAACTGGCCTGTAATGCTAATGCCGAAGCAAAAAACGTAACTGTGAATTTGATAGGTGAGGCCCTGCTAATGCCAAGTGGCGGTGAGAGGCTCTACCTATGATTTGGCTTAGAGAAATCGTGGCCACAGACGTGGTGGCGGGGTGTTGGCCTCTCGGTGACTGTAAAGAGATTCAAACATGTGGCCGTGACAGGTGAGGCCCTGACTACAGCCCTGTAGTAGGGCAGGCGAGGCATATAACTATGATTTGGGCGTGGGGCTGTACCTCTGTGTTGAGGTGGGAGATGGCCTCGCTGGACGTTTTTTTTTTCTTATTAGGGTGAACTAGCCTAGACCCTGCAAGCCAGTTCACATGTATACTAAAGGTTGAATGGTAATTCTGGTGTAATGTGTGGATACTAACCTTGAAGGGTTTATAATAGAGAGCTGGAACCTTCAAATTTTTATATGTAGCGAGTCTTGACTGCTGCTGTCCTCGTAGAAGAAGCCTAAGGATTAAGACGGATGTTGATGTATTTATGCGTAACGTGGTGGCGTATGATTTGTGGTAAGGATTGACTGATAGGAGCGCGACGTGAGATCCTGAAGTGAGGGATCTGAATGGTTATACTACGAATGAGGCGAGTTTACGTTATAGAGAGAGGCTGATTGAGGCCTTGAGGTAGTGAATGCCGTAACGAATAAGGATGTAAGTACCTGGTAGTGTGGCTGAGTACCGGGTTAGGTAGGTTGGTAATTTCTTGCCTGATGGCAGTATGACAGTATTCCTGGTTAAGAAAAAAGGAGAGAATTTTAAAACAAAGGACGTAGGACCAAGAGTTAGTCGTAATGAATCGAGACCGCGTTAGGTCTTGTATGAAAAAGTCCTGTAATGAGTAGAGAAATATATCTTGATTTGTTATATGGGTACTGGGATGAGCGTAACTGGTGTTCCTTCGTAGAAACCGGTGGAGGCCTAGAAGAATTCTGGAGCTAAGGATTAAATCCATTAAATATTTAACTGTGATTTCACTGTGATAAGTTTAGAGTGCATGCAGTATAGAGGCATGGACATGATTGAAAGCATGGTGAGTAAATACTATACCTGGGTTTGTAAATACAAGACCTTGAATTTGCTAACTTTAAGCAGAAATAAGAGAAACTGAGGCAATCTGTGGAGCCAAAGAAAATGTGACAGGGGCAGGATTAATGACTGTGTAACTTTAAGGAGAAAATGTAGTAAATTAAAATAAAATATTAGGGGTTTTACCAGTGTTACCCTAGATCATCGTGTAATAATAATATATGTATTTTTGAACAGGGTTGTTGTGGAATTAATAGAATTCTGCCCTTTGTTTGGTGTCAGGCGGAATTTATTTTATTAGATAAAGGAACGTAAAACATAGATTACTAACCACATGGGTGTAGAAAAAGAACTGATTATTAAGATACAGTGGCTATGGTTTTAATATATTAGACATAGTTAACCGGAAAACACAGTTTAGGTGATAAATGGTTGTAGTTTTTTTACATGTATTTAATAACTCCTACTGACAGTGGTACAAACAGTTAAATAACCAAACAGACAGTATGAGTAATCAAATGAATTCGTGTGCACGAAATGTTTGTATTATACTGAAAGGGGATCGGTAGTTTTAGCCGAACGGGGGACCTGCTTAGGTTATATAAAGTGTGCATTCGTATACTCCCGCGCGAATAGAAATAGCATGAATTAGGAAGGTTAGCGAGGGGTGAACAGTTTTACACAATTCACTTAAAATGCCTGAGGTAATAAGTACATGATTCGTGCGTATGATCAAACGGAAAACAGAATTGAAAAGATTAGCTTTACAGTTATGTTCGTACGTACGTAGTTCGGCAGTTTAGATCGTGCGAAAGCCCCCCTGAAACGTAAGTATAGCGAGCGTTCGTCTAGTTTAGTGGCGCAAACGCAGAAATGCACAAATAGGTAAGTATACGAAAATAGATAATGTGATAGCAAAAGGGAGCCTACCCCTACGTTTTTAGGCCCGAACGGAGGGAAATAGCCGAACGCTATTTCCCTCCTAAGCTTACGTGAGCATGCCGGTCTCGTGACCGGAAGCAAAGTACCGCGGCCAGGAAGAAGGCTGGTGGCAGGGCTGCAGGACGGCTGGTGGCAGGGCTGCAGGACGGACGGAGGATTCCACTGGACACCTCTTACTGCACGAGACTGGAGCTGTTTGACGGGAAGCTCGGACCGGAAGTGCTGGTTGCTATGAAGATAGACAATCAACTGAACCGGCAGAGGTGAGTAGGGACTGGGAGTTTAAGTAGGGGACTTACTCCTCCCACAAATTCAGGCCTAATGGCCTTTCTACATACGATACATTTCGGGTGGGAAAACATGAGAAATAAAGATAAAAAATAGTAATAAAAAATTTAGTTGATGGTTATAAAGCATGAACTTTTTTCATTGCACTTTACAATGGTTAAGAATACAGAAAAGTATTTGTCCGTCAAACATGATCAAGAGATTATGAGGATTCTACTCAAACAAGTTTACATTCTACAGGGAGGGTCGATTTACACAACTAATGATTAACTGCAGTCTGTTAAAACTAATGATTGATTGGTGGGTGCATTCATCATTTAAATATTTAGATAGAGTAGAAAAAACTGTAATTAGTGAAAACAAATTCAAGATAAGTCAAAGAAAATGCCCACTCGCAATTTGTTTTCCTTTCCTAAAGAAGTGGGGTAAAGGGTTACATTTTCTTAAAAGACGAAAGAAAGCCTTCTTTTGGATCAACAGCAACAACATTTCTGAGGAAGGCTGAACTTGATGGACGCAAGTCTCTTTTCAGCTATGTAACTATGTAAAGGGGAAAGGCTATTTGGGCTGGATAGGGAATTTCGTAAGAACAGTGCAGCATCTTGTTTGTGACAGTAATAACACTGCAGCCCTATAGAAGAGTTTCGTAACAACAGTTCAGACATAGAGACGTCTTGTTGGCGAGAGTCAGTGGGAAAATGTGACCAGAGGAGGTCAATGTAGAGGCAGAAGATCATAGAGGTTGGGATGGGACATATTTGCTTTTTAGGAAAGATCTAAAGTTTGGAGAGCTCAAATGAATACATATATTTACAAATAGAATTAATTATTAAGCAAACAATTTGTGTCAGTGTTAATTTATTATTAATTTAAAAAGAGTGGGCAGTTTTTATAACTCATGGATGAAATTCAGAAATTTTTTGGTTGGTGCACTCAATGTGATATGTATCTTGTATATATTAATGATGTCTGTTACAACAATTATTGTTACTTATTTTAGCCTTTATCTGAGCCTATAACTATGTGCTGTTACAATATTATATTAATAAAGAGCATTGACCCTATATTAATACCTGGGTGAATCTTTGATGTGGTGTCTCAAAAAGCCCAAACTTCCTCTTGAAAGATGGGCATTTCCTCTTTAAAATCTTCAATATATGATGCATCCAGTCTCTGATTTTATTTTTTTTAAGGAACCCACAGCAGATAATGAGATATTTTTGTTTAGACCTCCTCTCACCAAGAACAAATGCTGGGAGTCTGGGTCTACCTGTTGGCCAACACAATGAAGACTGATAGTAAAATATATTACATAACCCATTTATGTTTAAATGTCTGCTCATTAATAACCTCTTGTAACTTTTTTCTCATAGTAAAGGCTCAGTGATTGTTACCTCTGAGCTTCAATTTAACGTCACATCCGAATCAGCACCCACTCCAGATAACACAGTGCGTGCTTTGGTCAGTAGCCTACCAAGTAATACATCTCTTGGGACTTTTCAACTAGACCAAACCAGCATCACTTCTAAAGGTAAGCGTGATATCCCCTGGCTAAACCACAACCACTGTGTTTCATGACCAAATAAGGATATAACAATGTCCTACCCCAGAGTTCAATGTTCTGGCAAGTTTCTAGCATGGGCATAGATCATGTGGTATAAATATCTATTGACTTATATAGCGCATAAACAGGTTCTACTCCTATGTGCTCAGCACAGGACGGACTGGATACATTTTTGATGGTTTTGCCTTTTTAAGAGGTACTCTAAAGGGGACAGTATATGCAACATGAATGGGTTACATCCCTGTGAGGGTTTTATTTATTTTTTGTCCAACAATTCGGGTATGATTTTACAAAAAAAAGCAGTTCTCACCCAGAGAACCCTACATTGGTAATGGAGAATTTACACTGAAAAAAAAGCATTTAATGGTGTCCATAACCTGTAGTGGTTATGTTACTTCGAGCCCCTCATTTAGGGTTTTGTGTTTTGAAGTGGTCATGGTGCCTGGAGTTTTGCTATGAAGCCCTCCAAATGCAGAATTTAACCCCTTCACTGCTGAAGGGGTAACCTCACCTCTGGCAGTGTCATTTTCCAGCCTGGAACAAGAGTCCTGGCTGGTTAATGTCAGTTGTGCGCATAGTAGACATCAGTTGTCAGTACGCACAGCATGCTGAAGACCGGGGTAAAATGGAGGCACAGTCCCCTCTCCATGCCGCCCATATCCTGGCCTAAGCCCCTCCTCCCTCTATATCCCTCCCCCTGCAGCTAGTGACATCAGAGGAAGAGGGTTAGGCAGAGGGAAGAATTTGGCCTCATTAACGGAACACAGGTAAGTTTTAGCTTTCTATTTTATTTACATTTTTAAACTTTGACCAGGGGTAACATGATTTTTTTGTTTTTTACACTGATTTTTTTTTATTGAAGTACACCTTTAAAGATATCCTTAAATGATATGTGTATGTACGCGCAATATTGTCCATTTGTTTATTACAAATGTTATGTTTTTTTTTATGCCCACAGATGTCAATATAAGTAATTTGTCTCCTCTCAATGTAAGTGTCAGCTGTGTTCTTGTAAGACCATTTAACGCGTCAGAAACAGGGGACCTGAAGACTCAGATTGTGGCATGGGTATGTTATGTTTCAGTATCAAAGTATAACACCTGGTAACAACCAATCAAAACATGGCTTATTAGAAGCTCCACAGACATTCTCTGAAAGGAATTCCTAACGGAATGAATTTCCTACTCTGACTGATTTAGAGACTTTGGGTTCTTTTTCACTAAACACCAATTGTAGTGAATTACAGTATTTTATTTTTAGAGAAAACTCTAATTTAGCTACAGTCATAGCTTGACAATTTTAGCTGATATATTGCCAATTGCTTTTCAAGTATGAAAAAAAATAAACTCTCAAATTAACTGAACTGCCAAAACGAATCATCTTTAAACTAAAATAAATTAGTCTCGGATATCGTGAAATAGCTTCAGGTACCAGCTCATGAATTTGCTCAGTGCCACACTGTACAACAATAAACAATTGCTTACAATATTTACATTCCAGGGTTTAAATGCCTCCAGTGTTTGACACTTTGACATCCACTAGAGCAGGGGCATTAAAAATGTAGATCCCCAGATGTTTTAAGACTACAGCTTCCATGATGCTTTGTCATTCCAAATGTATGTAAAGGCATGTGAAGCATTTTGGGAGTTGTAGTTTTATCATATCTGGGGGTCTACCTTTTGGGCACCCCAGCATTAGAGGCTCTCCCTCCGAAAAATAGCAGAGTAAAACTGTGATTTCTATCAGTTGGTCTCAAAGAGGGATGATTAATGCCTCCATCAACCTGACTGGCTGGAATGCTTCACACAGAATATACACATATCTTACCTGCCAAGGGCTCTGTCAAAAGACACAAACATGTTTTTTTTTTGTAAACATTTTGAAAATGTGTTTAAAGTGACACTCTCTGGACCCCTGAAGGACTTTAGCTTGCTGTAAAGCTTGGTGTGTGAAGAATGTGTCCTCTTTTATTCATTTTACAAAAAGTGCATTTTCCAGTAAAACTTGGCAGTTTTAGAAATTAACCTTATTACACCTCATGACTTTCAATCTGACAACTGGTTATGTTACCACACGTATCCTGTTAGCACTCAATAAATAAGCATTACAGTTATTATATAGTATCAATGCGTATGTTTCATATGAAGTAACAATATTTAGAAAATTATCTACTATTATTGTTGTTTCTCCAGGTGCAGCCAATTTTACTAAACCTTCTCAATGGTACAACCGTCTCCACCATATTTCTAACCGAGTAAGTGATACATATTCAAGTTATATTAGTTAAAAGATGTCAACCCTGTAATGTCTGCATTGTAAAAACACCAATATTTCACTGGTCTGAAAACTAGAAAGACAATGTCCTGTCCAAAATCTATACTGGAAAACATGTTTATAAGTAAATATATAGATATCTGTTAGTTACCTTTTTTCTAGCACAGAGGTTAAGTCTGTGCAGCCGCCCTCTCCAACACCTTTTTCTACTTTTTGTCCAATACAGTGCTTCTGTTAGTGTCGAGAAGTGAGTCTAACTTGCTTCTCACAGAGGAAGCACCATCTTGTGACTGTCAGTGTAACAGTTTAAGCCTTGTAATGGAAACATTGCCATATCCCTAGAACAGCAACGTTTTACTTTGCGGGAGTAAAACGCCAGGGGCTCTGCACCCTGTCTCTGTCACTGAGATAAGGTGGTCTGAGTGCCCACAGTGTCCCTGTAAAACAATGTCCCCATTGACTTTGAATCAAAAATGTCCTTTAACCCATAAGGGTTAAATCGTACGTGGAGGGCTGCAGACAACTGAGCTGTACAAGTGTATGATAATATTAAATATAACCCTAAAATATACCATTGGCATTTACCTTTTTACTTAAGTGCTGATACAATGTGAAACATTACCTGCTACAGTTGCTTCAAAAGTACAAAAACACTTTATTAAAAGAATATCTCCAGTATTGTCACATGCTAAATTCTCTGCCATTTAGGAGTTAAATTCCTTCCTTTATGCAACTCTAGCCATTAACCACTGGCTGTAACTGATTAGCATGTTTACTGGTTTTGTAATTAAGATAGAATTACAATTACATTGATTTATATAGCTCCAACATAGTCTGCAGCACTGTACTACAGATACATCAAAAACAAGTTTACAATTAAAGTGTTTGCAAATTAATTGGATATTTGAAAACTAGGATCCCAAATTTGATTTTACTTGTAAGGAATCTATACTTTGAGCTCTTGTGAAGAGATGCTACAATTATTGTTCATATTATTTAGCTATATTACAAAGTATAACCCCTTACCTTGTGTTACCCAAGATTTGGGGGAGTGCTTGATACAGGGTTTGCCATCTTGTCACCAATTGCTCTTTTACTTGGATTGTCATTGTAGGGGATAGTGTGCCTACATGTACAATTCTTTAATTCTGCTGATCTTTTAGGGATTTGCATTGCCCAAAATGTTAGCAGAATACATAGGAATACAAAACTTGAAAGTTGAAACACAGACATACAACATATGTATGTCGCATGTCTTGTTTGTCCACCTGTTGTACAACGCTGTGGAATTGTTTGGTGCTTTATAAATAATAATAATGTATATCAGTATCATATCTTTTGAAAAGTTATGTAAATACAGGAAGAAGTAGGTCCAGGTAAGGGGTACCCTAAAGGTAGATCTCCAGATGTTATAGAACTACAGGGAGTGAAGAATTATTAGGCAAATGAGTATTTTGACCACATCATCCTCTTTATGCATGTTGTCTTACTCCAAGCTGTATAGGCTCGAAAGCCTACTACCAATTAAGCATATTAGGTGATGTGCATCTCTGTAATGAGAAGGGGTGTGGTCTAATGACATCAACACCCTATATCAGGTGTGCATAATTATTAGGCAACTTCCTTTCCTTTGGCAAAATGGGTCAAAAGAAGGACTTGACAGGCTCAGAAAAGTCAAAAATAGTGAGATATCTTGCAGAGGGATGCAGCACTCTTAAAATTGCAAAGCTTCTGAAGCGTGATCATCGAACAATCAAGCGTTTCATTCAAAATAGTCAACAGGGTCGCAAGAAGCGTGTGGAAAAACCAAGGCGCAAAATAACTGCCCATGAACTGAGAAAAGTCAAGCGTGCAGCTGCCACGATGCCACTTGCCACCAGTTTGGCCATATTTCAGAGCTGCAACATCACTGGAGTGCCCAAAAGCACAAGGTGTGCAATACTCAGAGACATGGCCAAGGTAAGAAAGGCTGAAAGACGACCACCACTGAACAAGACACACAAGCTGAAACGTCAAGACTGGGCCAAGAAATATCTCAAGACTGATTTTTCTAAGGTTTTATGGACTGATGAAATGAGAGTGAGTCTTGATGGGCCAGATGGATGGGCCCGTGGCTGGATTGGTAAAGGGCAGAGAGCTCCAGTCCGACTCAGACGCCAGCAAGGTGGAGGTGGAGTACTGGTTTGGGCTGGTATCATCAAAGATGAGCTTGTGGGGCCTTTTCGGGTTGAGGATGGAGTCAAGCTCAACTCCCAGTCCTACTGCCAGTTCCTGGAAGACACCTTCTTCAAGCAGTGGTACAGGAAGAAGTCTGCATCCTTCAAGAAAAACATGATTTTCATGCAGGACAATGCTCCATCACACGCGTCCAAGTACTCCACAGCGTGGCTGGCAAGAAAGGGTATAAAAGAAGAAAATCTAATGACATGGCCTCCTTGTTCACCTGATCTGAACCCCATTGAGAACCTGTGGTCCATCATCAAATGTGAGATTTACAAGGAGGGAAAACAGTACACCTCTCTGAACAGTGTCTGGGAGGCTGTGGTTGCTGCTGCACGCAATGTTGATGGTGAACAGATCAAAACACTGACAGAATCCATGGATGGCAGGCTTTTGAGTGTCCTTGCAAAGAAAGGTGGCTATATTGGTCACTGATTTGTTTTTGTTTTGTTTTTGAATGTCAGAAATGTATATTTGTGAATGTTGAGATGTTATATTGGTTTCACTGGTAATAATAAATAATTGAAATGGGTATATATTTGTTTTTTGTTAAGTTGCCTAATAATTATGCACAGTAATAGTCACCTGCACACACAGATATCCCCCTAACATAGCTAAAACTAAAAACAAACTAAAAACTACTTCCAAAAATATTCAGCTTTGATATTAATGAGTTTTTTGGGTTCATTGAGAACATGGTTGTTGTTCAATAATAAAATTAATCCTCAAAAATACAACTTGCCTAATAATTCTGCACTCCCTGTACAGCTCCCATGATGCTCTGCATTTCTTAGTGATGCCTTTAGAATGGAAGTATCATGGAAGCTGTAATTTAAGAAAATTCGGGAATATACCTTTCAGGCTCCGCTGGTCTAGGGCTGGCAATAATGAATTCTTGAGAACACTGTCTGTAAAATAGAGAGTAAATACATTTTTACGTTTTATTTTGCATCATTTCAGGAATTCTAATGGCTGGACCAATTTTACTGCATACTTTGCTGTTAACACCCTCCAGCTATTGAATAACACTGATGCTCTGACTACAACTTTATCATCTAGAGGAAATATTTCCATTATACCAGCCAGTCTAACCATCCAAGGTGAGATATTTTGAATGTCACAGTGTTTTGCTCTCACCACAGTGAAGCATGTTACTCTAACTGGATTATACATTTTAATAGGGAGCACTTTGACTTTCAATACTATAACCATTGAACCTGGATTTCTCAACGTGGCTCAAACATCCGACCTCACTAGTAGAAACAGTACCGGGTTCCAGAATCTTTCCAAACTTATACAGAAATCGGTAAGCATAATAAAAGTAGATGACTGAATTTTACCAAATAGTACTATATTTAAATTTAATCTGCTATGTGCATTTCTGTTTCCTTCAATGAGCTATCATAACAGTGTTCGTTATTCGCTTCCAATCTCATCAGCTGTCAGGCTCATCCAGGGGTCCTTTAAGGGACACTCTAGTCACAACAACTACAGCTTAATATAGTCAGTCCCTGCAGGCTTTTTGCAGAGAAAAGGCAGTGTTTACATTGCTCCCTAGGGACACCTCCAGTGGCAGTCACTCAGACGGCGCTAGAATAAAGGTATGTTTTGTACCTTTTTAAGAGGGGCAAGGAAGCTAAATAGTGTTGTTAATACTATAGGGTCAGGAATACACATTTGTTCCTTTCACCTTTTTTGATAGAAACCTATATTGTATGTTGGATACATATTCTTTAAATGTAAAAATATCTCTATAGTTGAAATATGGGACACTCCATTTTACAACAGTAGGATAATAATTTAAAGGGACACTCCAGGCACCCAGACCACTTCTGCCCATTGGAGTGGTCTGGGTGCCAACTCCCACTACCCTTAACCCTGCAACTGTAATTATTGCAGTTTCTATAAATTGCAATAATTACCTTGCAGGGTTAACTCCTCCTCTAGTGGCTGTCTACTAGCCAGCCACTAGAGGGCACTTCCGGAATTATAGCACAGATTTTCTGTGCTATAGCGTCGCTGAACGTCCTCACACTATGTGAGGACCTCCAGTGTTGCTAAAATCCCCATAGTAAAGCATTTTTAATGCTTTTCTACGGGGAGGTCGCATGCGCATTTGGTCTCCCCCGCCGGCCGGCGTGATCAGTTTCCCCCGCCGGCTGACGTGGTGATGGGGAGGAGTGTGGGTGGACCAAGAAGTCACTGAAGGGGTTTTGACCTTCAGCAACCTGGGATGGGAAGTGGGAGGGAGAGGGGACCTGCAGTTCCAGGAAAACAGATTGTTTTCCTGGCACTGGAGAGTCCCTTTAAAGTATTAAAATAATATCAGTTGCGCTGTGGAAGATAGTGATACTACAGTAAACACTACTACAGGTGTTGGCTGGTACCTACGGAATAAAGGGAGTCATTTTCTACCAGTTATGATACACAGAAAGAGCATGCAAACAGAGGGAGCTGATCAAATTCCCGGTCCCGACGCAAGAGTTGTAGTTGTCAGCTAGACTAGAAAGGGGCCTCAGTTAGGAAAAAGGACAAATGAGTAATTTGATACATGTGAGTTTACAGAGGAAGAGGTTCTATTTCAACTGTCAAAAGTAAAGACAAATAAGTTGATGGGGCCTGATGCAATACACCCAAAGTTATTAAAAGAACTTAGTGGTGTACTAGCAAAACCATTAACGGATTTATTTAACCAGTCATTGTTAACAGGAATAGTCCCAGAAGATTGGAAATTAGCGTGTGTTGTAGCCATTTACAAGAAAGGTAGTAGGGAGGGGTCGGGCAACTATAGGCCAGTAAGCCTAACCTCAGTAGTGGGGAAAGTGATGGAAACCATGTGGAAGGATAGAATTGTTGAACATCTAAAATCACATGGATTTCAAGATCTGAGACAACATGGGTTTACTTCAGGGAGATCATGCCAAACTAATCTAATTTATTTTTTTGATTGGGTAACTAAAATAATAGATCAGGGTGGTGCAGTAGACATTGCTTACCTAGATTTCAATAAGACTTTTGACACTGTTCCACACAGAAGGCTCATCAGAGTCATCAATAAACTGCAATCTTTAAGTTTGGATTCCAATATTGTTGAGTGGGTTTAGGCAGTGGCTAAATGACAGGCAACAGAGGGTTGTAGTCAACAGAGTATATTCAAAGCAAGGTCTAGTTACCAGTGGGGTACCTCAGGGATCTGTAGTTGGACCCATTCTCTTTAATATTTTTATTAGTGATATTGCAGAAGGTCTTGGTGGTAAGGTATGTCTTTTTGCTGATACTAAAATTTGCAACAGGGTTGATGTTCCAGGAGGGATAAGCCAAAAGGCAAATGATTTAGAAAAATTTGGAAAATGGTCAAAGCTGTGGCAACTGACATTTAATGTCGATAAGTGCACGATAATGCACCTTGGATGTAAAAACCCAAGGGCAGGTTCATGGATTGCAGGATACAACTTATAAGGAAAGGTTAAAGGATCTTAACATGTATAGCTTGGAGTAAAGACGAGACATGGGGGATATGATAGAAACATTTAAATACATAAAGGGAATCAATACAGTAAAGGAGGAGAAGATATTTAAAAGAAGGAGAACTACAACCACAACAAGAGGACATAGTCTTAAATTAGAGGGGCAAAGGTTTAAAAATAATATCAGGAAGTATTACTTTACTGAGAGGGTAGTGAATGCATGGAATAGCCCTACAGCTGAAGTGGTAGAAGTTAACACTGTATCAGGATTACAGTATGATCCAGCACGTAGAATTGTGTAACACAGAGGACTGATAGGTAACGTATACCGGACCTTAAAATGGCCAGACTAACGTACCAAAGAATAGTCAGGAATAGCCGAGGTCAAGGGATACAGAAAGAGACACAACGGTAAGCAAAAGCCAAGGGTCAGAGATGCCAGAAAACGGGGAAGTAAAACTCAAAGACAAAATCAAATAACCAGAAAAAACAGAATCAAGAACGCGCTCTCGGACAACCACAAGGGAAACCACGACAGGGCACTGAGCAAGAGGAGAACTGGGCCTAAATACCTCGCCTGTGGATCCGATTGGTTGTAACCGGCCTTTGAACCCAAAGGCAGTTACCAGGTTACTATTTGTATGATTGCTGCTCAGCACAAACCCTCCTGTGGATTGATTGCTGCTCGGCACAACTTTTCCTGTCAGGACAGTAATTTTGCTCGGCGCAACTTTTCCTGTCAGAACAGTAAATGCTATTAATCACATTTTTATGTTCGGAATACGTAACACACTTTGAGGGAGTTTAAGCATTCGTGGGATAGGCATAAGGCTATCTTAGAGTTAAGATAAGGCCAGGGACTAATTAGTATTTAGAAAATTGGGCAGACTAGATAGGCCAAATGGTTCTTATCTGCCATCACATTCTATGTTTCTAAGTTATAAACTAAAGTCGACATGGGGCGGGGCCAATTGCCATTTTGGCCAATCAGGACCTCCTCAGAGATGCATTGAATCAATTCAGGAAAATTCAACGTCTCCATCTGAGGAGTGGCCACTTGGAGGTGTCTCTGGGGGCAAAGTAAACACTGTCTTTTCTCTGAAAAGGCAGTGTTTACAGGAAAATGCCTGAATGGAGCTATTATACTCACCAGAACAACTACATTAAGCTGTAGTTCTTCTGGTGACTATAGTGTCCCTTTAAATACGTTGGCAGTTCTCACAAGTCAACTGCCATGAAGGTGTTATAAAGTAACGGTCATTGAAATATATTATACAGTAGGTTAGCTATAATATTATTAATAATATATAGATTACAGTTTCTTCTGGAGCAAATTACCAGCATTTCAAAATCTCTTTCTATGGCTCTAATCTGTTAAATGAATATATTGCGTTAGCCAGGATCTAGAAATGCAAGTGAGATGACTTGTAGAATAAGTTCTGTCCTTTAAATGCTTATAAAGTTTTCTTCTCTCATAGTTCAAGGACATATTTGGCAGTGATTTAGTGGAGCCCGTTGTAACCAGCTATAGGTATGTATCTTATTAATTTAATTCACAAGAATCATTTCTTTATTAAAACAGTGCAAATTATTCTAATTATATATATATATATATATATATATATATATATAAAAATTATATAATGATATATATCATTATCAATGTTATGTCCGTCCAACTGGACAAAATTGATTGGTTGACAGCTCTAGGGGTGGTTTAGTCCCAAGCTCTCAGCCAATCATTGTTGTCCATTGACATGTATAATGCAGAAGTGTTAAAGGTTTACTCCAAACACCATAACCACTACTGTCTACTATAGTGGAGTACCTTGGCAATATTCCCCAGTTATGGGGCAAACTGTTTTAAAACCGTTCTCCCCCCTTTTACCTGGTACCGCTGGGCTCTGACGGTCCAATGATGGCGGTCAAACCACATCCAGCTTTTGCAGAGTTACAGATGCTAGATGCTGGTCCAGTTCGCCATTCATTAGCTAAGTGTCAGCTGATCGCTCTCGTCCAATGAATGACATTATGTGCATAGAAATATGCACACACCTATGCTGGCTAATGATTTCCCAGTGATGCTGTTAGAGGTAGAGTCACACATCCGGCAGCAAAGGGGTTAAACTTCATAGGTGCAGCTTTTCATAGCAAAACACTGACACACATATAGACTCCAAACACCATCACCATTTCAAATCATTGAATTGGTCATGGTGCCTGGAGTAACTCTTTAATTCTGCATTATCAATATCCCCAAGATAGAGTGGGCCTCTGGAAAGATCCACGATATGAAACATTTTTAGATGGTTTGATATAAACTGAGAGACGGCGCAAGGGGACTCTTGATGGGAGCTGAGTTTTAACAATTCTGTCAGGACAATGAGCTAGAGCCAGGAGTAGGCAACCTTCGGCACTCCAGATGTTTCGGACTACATCTCCCACAATGCTGTTATAGCCATAATGCTGGTAAAGCATCATGGGAGGTGTAGTCTACAACATTTGGAGTGCAGGAGGTCACCTGACGCTAAGTTAGACCAATTCTATTATATATACTGGCAGCTTCTCTGTGTAGTGAAAACACAGCAACATGTAACTTTATATAACTTTATTCATTACCCACAGGTTATGGCTCAGTGATGTTTTGGCCTCTGTGGATCTTTACTTCCAAAGTAGTGTGAATATAACTACGGTTGTAGCTAAAACAGTAGCCAGTGGAGCAGTGTTCACAAACAATGGTCTCACTTTGGACCCTTTAACATTATCTTCTCAAGGTGAGTCAATACGCAGAGATTCAGTGTGGCTTGCGGGATATTTTTGTTGGAAAATAATACCCCAAAATATTGGTGTTTATAAATGAAGTAAATAAGTTTTTAAAAAAATTAAAAACCCATATTTTTTAATTCATTGTGATTTTTCACTTTAGTAACCAACTCTGTTAGCGGCTATATCCTAAGCAAATTGCAATTTATTTGAAAACATACACAATCAAAGTCTACAATTAAGTATGCTGTGCTGTCTTATATTCTACATCTTTCCCTAATTAAGATAAATACTTTTTTTCTTTGTCAGTGAATGTGACAGTGCAGTTCACTCTGATACAGTACTACATTTCTTCCCTCTCAAATCTTACCTCACCTGATACTATAAGTCTACAAAACACCATTAAAAACTTGGTGAGTATTGCTACAATGCGCTACAGTCTCAGGAAAGAAAATGCAATAATATTTACCAACATCAGTACACAGAGACAGGTTAGCAAGGCTCTAGAAAACACGGACTTTAATGCCGTAACTTTGTGTGGTCTTCTTTGACAAATTTCGAAGTATAAGTATATATCTTTCTTTTACAAGCAAGTTACAATACCAATTCTTTAAATAGCGCCAACATATTCCACAGTGCTGTACAATAGGTAAAACAAGACAAACTATTAATTCTGACAAAATACAGTAACAGTATGTGAAGAGGGCGCTGCCCGAACCAGCATGAAATCGAACAAGTAAAAGCAGAAACATCGCTTAAAGGAGCACTATAGTGTCAGGAAAACAAACTCGTTTTCCTGGCACTATAGGGTCATTAGGTCCCCCCCAACCTCAGGGCCCCTCTCCCACTGGGCTGAATGGGTTAAAACCCCTTCAGCCACTTACCTTAATTCAGCGCCGGGCTCCCTCTGTGCTGGGGAACTTTTTTTTCCCCAATTTACCTTATTCTAGCACCAAGGTGCAAAGAGTGAGTACGTCCAGGGTTGTCTACTAGAGTCAGTCTTAGCCAGACGATGTAAACATTGAAAATTTTCTCTAAAACTGGTTTACATTGGAAGGTCATAGGACCACTCCACTTCCTATTTGTACCTCAGTTTATAAATTAACTAGGGAACACCCTCCTGGCAGTCAATCAAACGACCATAGAGGCTTGCGGCCTCCTTCTGTTAATTCCCATGAGCTAATGGAAGTGGCAGGCACGCTCTTGAGCCTGGCTGCCTCATCCCACACTGAGCACAGACCAGCTCCTGCGAACCTCAGACGACATGTGCGCATGCACATGAGCCGCTGTAGGCATGCATGTGTGCACCATTTCAGAAGCTTCTGAATGGTTATTTCCCTGTTAAGAGACTGAAGTCTCTTCTGGTAAAAGAGAGGAGGGTTTGCTAAGGCTGCAGTTCATGAGATCTGCAGCATTTGCAAGCTCTTTTAAGATATAACCCAATGAATACATGTATGAAAAATGTATGCATATATTCATTGGGGTAGATCTACTAAATAATGATGTTGGGGTTTGTTTTCCATTCGGACAAAGAAGTGTTCCTTTAAGGGGACAAGGAAACTGCATCCAGACCACTTTAATGAGATGAAGTGGCCTGGGTGCCTATAGTGTCCCTTTAAATTGCAAGTGGGAATGTTATCTTAAAATGTGGGTTAAAACTAAGTAAAAGATATAAACGGAATCTATGGAAATGTATTTCACAAAGTAAAAAGCCTGATCTTTATACGTCACTGTTGAGCAATCATAGAAAATAGATTTAGCGGACGCGTACAGTGTGGGACAGTTTAAAGGGAAAGTATGTGTTGTTTTACTGCAGGGGTAGGCAACCTTCACTCTTGCACCCACAATGCAGGCAAAGCATCATGGGAGGTGTAGTCCAAACCATCTGCATTGCCGAAGGTTGCCTATGCCTGTTTACTATATATTAATTCAGCAGTCAATTACAGAATTCCTACATTTATAATATGGATTTCATGATTGCCAACATTTCAAAGAAGACTTTCACCCTGTTAAAAGCCAACTCAGTTAATCACTGGTTACCATAACTTAGTTATACAAAATGTAACATGTGGAGAGACACTTAGTATAATTACCACCACAATTAAGGGTGCTATTCCAACAAGGTACTCCCTCCAATACCAATAAACTAAATACTCAAAAAGAAAGGAATGCACACCAACTGATACAATAGTATCTATCTATTTTATTGCAATCCAAATCCAAATCATACATGCAAAAAATGCAACAATATAACAGTGACCAAATAGGCAAAAAAAAAGGCTAAACCATATATTTACCAAATTTCACAAGCCTATATGGGCAGAAACACGAGTCACAAACAGTCCCCCAACGTTTCGGCTCCTCCTGGTAGCCTTTATCTACCCTTGATAAAGGCTACCAGGAGGAGCCGAAACGTTGGGGGACTGTTTGTGACTCGTGTTTCTGCCCATATAGGCTTGTGAAATTTGGTAAATATATGGTTTAGCCTTTTTTTTGCCTATTTGGTCACTGTTATATTGTTGCATTTTTTGCATGTATGATTTGGATTTGTATTGCAATAAAATAGATAGATACTATTGTATCAGTTGGTGTGCATTCCTTTCTTTTTGAGTATTTACCATAACTTAGTTAATCACAGTTTACCATTACTTAGTTAATCACAGGTTACCATTACTTAGTTAATCACAGGTTACCATTACTTAGCATCTGGCTCACCATTAGAACATTCATGTGATAAATGATCGATAGCAACAGTGACGTCGTACACATAACTATCCTCCAACAGACCAGCAAGTTCAGTTTGCTGTATGTGTTTAACTTTGATTGCATTCCATTTCTTTTTGCAGGTGACACCAATTCTCAAACAGAGTTACTCTGATGCCCTCCAGAATACCCCCAAAGTGACATTCAGGTATGGCTTAATTTAACCCTGGTCAGCACTCTGTGCTCATTTTTTGTGTGATTGATATATGGTAGATCTGTTGCAATGTATCTGAAATACAGCATTTATTAAAATTCACATTCTAGTACGCCAACTTTCTAGTTAATATACATCTTTGCCATTAAAAAAAGATAACCTTCTAATAAGCATAAGGCTATCCTAACTATAAGATAAGGCCAGGGACTAATGAAAGTATTTAGAAAATTGGGCAGACTAGATGGGCCGAATGGTTCTTATCTGCCGTCACATTCTATGTTTCTATAAGACATTTATGTCATCATAGTATTGTTAAACCCTTTTGAGAAAATGTGTCACTTTGAAAAGTTCACCACTGTGGTCAGGTTTAGGGGAGGTTTGGGGGGGGCTTAGGTTTAGGGGGGTTAGTAGGTTTACATTCCACATCATTAAGGCAGGTAGCTTGTAACCTTGCTACTCAAAGCATCATCACATAATGGCTAAGGCTTATGGTGCAGCATTCTGCAAAACATTTTTTTTTTTGTGAGAATCTATAAAGATTTCAGCATGCAAAATATTTAGCATATTATTGTGCCTAAAGCCTATCAAATTCATTACTGGGACACTTTAAACACCAAAACAATTTGAACTTAATCAGTTTTGGTGCATAGATCATGCAGAAACCGTTTCACTCCTGTTTAGGAGTTAGAGGGACACTATAGGCACCTAGACCACTTTGGCTCATTGAAGCGGTCTGGGTGCATACTCCCAGGTCCCTTAACCCTGTAGTGGTTTTGATAAACTGCAATAATTACCTGCCAGGGTTAACTCCATCTCTAGTGGCTGTCTACCATGCCAAAATGTAGCCTGAATCACAAAGCAACAGAAATGTGCAATGGCCAAGCATTGTCAATTTGATTCATGATTCTGAATTCTGCCTGTGGTGTAAAAAAAAAAAAAAAAGATGAATGATTGGAAAAAGATGATTAGCTAGGGGACAGTCAATAAATGTTAATTTTATTTACAGATTAAGTTAGAAGTGAGCAAAAAAGGATCAGTAGTAAAAAATCTATATTTATAATTAGAAATACAGATTTATATTTATATTTAATGCATATATAATATTTAAATAGAGATTTTTTTTAACTGCTGGCCCTGTTTTCTTTTATTTTTTTTGCAGTACACAAATTGGCTCATTTTCACGCCCTGTTGCTTCATCTGATCTGTTTTTATAAATCAGTTTTCTGAAATTCTGCTGAGCCAAACTGAAATTTCTCACCATGCAAGTCTAGATTCCCCATCTAAATATCAGTCCAACCAGCAGTACTTATCTGACAAGCTTGGCTCTGGACAACCATACCATAGTTCACCCCTAATATGCAAAAGTCCAACATTCCTGACATTACACCTCACTTACCGCATTTCATCCTACACTTAACCTTTCACTCCTCTGAGATAGTTACTTACCTCTCACAAACTCAACTAATCCGCCATATTTCAGTCTCCATTTTCTAGAATTGACTTCTATATGTCCTAATCTACTTCATTTTCTGTTATCACCCTATTACAATAAATCACCACTTTCACCTCCACTCTTAACTTTAATCTAGAATTTGATACTTTTAGCCTAGTGCTCTATTCTCTCTCATGTGGCCTGGTGACGTAATTGAGAGAAATTGGCATGCACGCATTAAAATATCCTAGTGCAGGTATCGTACATCCTTTGGTGCAGAAAGATAGATGTACAAATAGCACAAAACAGTATACTGAGCTTTTTAGAATGTTAGTTTCTTTCTCAAAGTCTCAGAGCCGACAACAACTACCTCCTCATCAGGAGCACTGGCCAAGGGTGACAGGGGAGTAGAGTGCCTAAAATTAGGAGAGGGATTATATGGGCCTGTGGTTCAGGAGGTTTTAGATTCCAGCATCCATCATCCCATGTTTACTTTAGAAGGGTCCGTATAGGTCTCATGATGTCCTTGAGTTGAAATTCAAGTAAACTATAAATGATCAATGGCTAATGAAGTGCATCCCTATGGAGAATGTCCCTTCTCCTGTACACATTGCGGAATTAAAATAAGTAATACTGCCTAAAATTACCAGAGTATATATACAAACCAGTACACAAAATCGGTAACAACATCTAACTTCCAGAGCGCAAATACATGCTGCAGGGTTCTACGTGAATACTGAAGAAACTCTCAATTTAAAATGTTAACATATAGATAGCATGTTATTAGATACCCTCAATTTTCTCAGTTTGTCTAAAGCCCTATATCCGCGCTGAACTCACTTCCTTTTCCTATCATCTTTCAGTGAGAATGCAGGCTCCGCAGCCGCTTTGATTCAGTATAACGTCAACTCCACAATCTCAGCTGACAATACGAACACAGTGAAGTTGCTCCTAGCGAACTCAAGTTTTACCAGCCTGATCCGCAAAGCATCTCTGAATGTTAATGGTAAGTAAATGCAGAATTGAGAATTTTTCTCTTGAGTGAGAATTCCAATAGAGATGATTCTCCATCAATCTGGATATCACACACACACACACTGTGCAAAAGTAAATGGTATTAGAGGAATGTTTGTTGCAGTCAATTTGCAAAAGTCCTCAATGGAAATAAGCAAATATTTCAGAAAGTACAGAATATTAACCTCTAAAAATTAATCTTGAGTTATGATGACTTGAAAAACCCAGTTTTAGACAAACATTCATATATTTTTTTTAATTTGCTTTATAATTATAAAACCTATATATTGCAACTTTATCAGTGTGGAGACAAATATATTTTTTTATATATATATATTTTTTTTTTTTCTTTAATTTCAGGCGCAAAACCATCTTTGCAAGTATTCACATTTTCTCCAAGATTCACTAACGAAGTGTACACTGCGAACCTGAAAACAAGAAGCAGTACCGAGTTCAAGACTTTCGAGAGCAACATTGTAACTGCAGTAAGTAACTGAAATGGCCATTCCGACACATTTTACGACTTGCCTCGTGGTACAGCATGTGGTATAGGAAAGTGAATTTAGGCAGAAAAATAGGCCATCTATGATTTACGTGCATTTGTAAGACAAATTTGAGGTTAACTGCTCAAAAACAGACCTTCACGTGTCATTTATTCACAAGTCCAAATTCAATGATTAATGTCATGTTATTATTTATTTATGTATTTATGATTAAATGAAAGCAGAGATTTTAAGTTTCTATAAGCCATCTCTACTAGGGTTTTAACAATATTTATATAATATATATATATATATCTATATATATATACATATATATGATTTATATAATATAGATATATACACTGCTCAAAAAAACAAGGGCACACTTAAACAACACAATGTAATTCCAAGTCAGTCACACTTCTGTGAAATCAAACTGTCCACATAGGAAGCAACGCTGAGTGACAATCAATTTCACATGCTGTTGTGCAAATGGGATAGACAACAGGTGGAAATTATAGGCAATTAGCAAGATACCCCCAATAAAGGAATGGTTCTGCAGGTGGTGACCACACACCACTTCTCAGTTCCTATACTTTTGAATGCTGGTGGTGCTTTCTTTCTAGTGGTAGCATGAGACGGAGTCTACAACCCACACAAGTGGCTCAGATAGTGCAGCTCATCCAGGATGGCACATCAATGCGAGCTGTGTCTGTCAGCGTAGTGTCCAGAGCATGGAGGCGCTACCAGGAGACAGGCCAGTACATCAGGAGACGTGGAGGAGGCCGTGGGAGGGCAACAACCCAGCAGCAGGTCCGCTACCTCCGCCTTTGTGCAAGGAGGAACAGGAGGAGCACTGCCAAAGCCCTGCAAAATGACCTCCAGCAGGCCACAAATGTACATGTGTCTGCTCAAATGGTCAGAAACAGACTCCATGAGGGTGGTATGAGGGCCCGACGTCCACAGGTGGGGGTTGTGCTTACATTTGGCATTTGCCAGAGAACACCAAGACTGGCAAATTCGCCACTGGCACCCTGTGCTCTTCACAGATGAAAGCAGGTTCACACTGAGCACATGTGACATACGTGACAGAGTCTGGAGACTCTGTGGAGAACGTTCTGCTGCCTGCAACATCCTCCAGCATGACCGGTTTGGCAGTGGGTCAGTAATGGTGTGGGGTGGCATTTCTTTGGAGGGCCACACAGCCCTCCATGTGCTCGCCAGAGGTAGCCTGACTGCCATTAGGTACCGAGATGAGATCCTCAGACCCCTCGTGAGACCTTATGCTGGTGCGGCTGGCCCTGGGTTTCTCCTAATGCAAGACAATGCTAGACCTCATGTGGCAGGAGTGTGTCAGCAGTTCCTGCACGACGAAGGCATTGATGCTATGGACTGGCCCGCCCATTCCCCAGACCTGAATCCAATTGAGCACATCTGGGACATCATGTCTCGCTCCATCCACCAACGTCACGTTGCACCACAGACTGTCCAGGAGTTGGCAGATGCTTTAGTCCAGGTCTGCGAGGAGATCCCTCAGGAGACCATCCGCCACCTCATCAGGAGCATGCACAGGCGTTGTAGGGAGGTCGTACAGGCACATGGAGGCCACACACACTACTGAGCCTCATTTTGACTTGTTTTAAGGACATTACATCAAAGTTGGATCAGCCTGTAGTGTGTTTTTCCACTTTAATTTTGTGAGGGACTCCAAATCCAGACCTCTATGTGTTGAAAAATGTGATTTCCATTTTTTTATTTTTGTGTGATTTTGTTGTCAGCACATTCAACTATGTAAAGAACAAAGTATTTCAGAAGTATATTTAATTCATTCAGATCTAGGATGTGTTATTTTTGTGTTCCCTTAATTTTTTTGAGCAGTGTATATTATTTATATGATAACCAGCAATATTGATAAACTCACACTTTTTTTTTCTCTTTTGTTTTAGTTTGGACAAATCCTGCAAAATATCAACCCTCAACAAATTGTAGTAGCATCATTTAGGTAAGTATTTTTTGTAATCAATGTTGGAGAGGTCAGGGAGTTTCTGATCTCTGGGTGATGGGAATTCTGTTGTTCAGTGCTACAACGGAGGTTATTGTGTACGCAGTTGATTTTGGCCCTTTGACCACCAGCTTAATAAATGTTACCTAAAATAGCAAAATCGGATGTAAAAAAAAATTAAATGTCAATATCAACGTATAAACAGGAGAAATTTAAATCACATTTTTATGTCAAATTTTAAGAATATAGAATTGGTTTATTGGGAAGGCAGTTTGCTAAGAGGTGACCTGTTCAATGTAAAACATCCAAAGTTTTTATTAAGACGTCTCTTGGCTAGTTCTAAACTATATGATTTTTACAATGCAGGGAAGGATCCGTCATCTCTGACACAGAACTGACCTTTGCACAATCAACAACGTCTTCAGATGCTATTGCTGTACAGATAGTTAATAATGCGGACACTCTAAAGAACTATGGGCTAGTGTTGGATCCTAACTCTGTCTGTAAGTGACCAGTTCCACATTTCACATATACAGTTTCTAGTGGTCATGTTATTTTTAAAGTAACTTAAAAGGAACACTTCCAACACCATAAGCATTAGAGCGTGCTGTACCTGTCGCCTCCTCTCTGCAACCAGGAAAGATAGAAACTGGGAGCTTCCATTAGCTCTCCAGAGCTACGATGCAGTGGCGGGCCAGTTCATTGGCTGAGAGCACCGCTGGTTGGAATGATCAATACACCAAAACTGCTTCATTAAGCTAAAGTTGTTTTGATGCTTAGGAATCCCTATAAAAGACGCAATCTTGAAAATAATTACTTAGACTTTTAATATTTTTTTCCCTCCCTTTTTAGATGTTGCACCAGCAGTAAGTGCACCAACTATTGCACCCGTTAATACGTTCCCAGGTTACGCAGTTGCCATCATCATCATGGGCATCTTATTTCTACTAGCCATCATAGTGCTGGGGCTGCTGGTAAGTTCAGTGGAAACTCATCCTAAAACAGTGACTGCCAATCAATGCAGTGCCATTATTTCGATATCGCTGCCCAAGGGTAAAACAAAAATGCATTTCTGCATGTATTCTTCTATGCAGTGATGGCAAACCTTTTTTGAGCCTAAGTGGCCAAACTGCAATTTAGCTACTTGGTCAATGAACCCAACTTATTTATCCTAAAGTTCCAACACTGCAATTAAACTCAAAAGCATAAGTCAGGGTGTGTGTGATATGTGAGTGGTGTGTTTTTATTTTAGTTTAACTGCATTAATAAAATAGAAAATTGTTTACTCCTCTCCTGCTTATCTATTATTTGCAGGGAACAGGTTAACTTTCCTGGTGGTCCATTGGGGATGAATGGTTTCCTTGAGGTTAATGGGGATTAAAAATGGTCCAAGTGTTGTAGTGCATGGTCTGCAGACCCTTTTGGTGCAGATCATATTAATTGCTCCTTCTGGCCTGCCACTCATTAAGCAAGTGGGAATCCCGTTGACCGTGCTGACTACGTCATGGAGCGCTGGAACCACAAGGGAGCGATTAATATGGTCTGCACCAGATGGCACCACCTGACCACCAAGAAATTATTTTTATTTACTATATTGCAGATTAGAGACAGCAGTATTCTTGAACACAGTGCACCACTGCTGTTTTGTCCTAAGATGGCCGTTCATGCTGACTTATGGTAGTGCAGTCACCCCCAAGAGAACTGCAACATGAAAAATCTCCGGCTCGTGTGCCAGCAGAGAGGCCACTTGTGGCCCATAGGTTTACATCACTGTTTTAGAGCTTTACTCTAAAATGTGTCCATTGCTGTTTGTGTGGTGCTGTTAATGTGACATCTACCACTGGACTCCTCTAATATCCTTTTCAGTGCCAGACTAGGCATAAAAGCATATGGGGTAAAAGAACAAAAGTGTGTAGGTGCTTCACAATTATTGTGGCACTTCAGTGCGTGAAAGAAAAACACTACGTGGGTTGTGCAACAGGTATATTAGTGCTTACCTTATACACCAAACATAAACCGCCAATTACAATAAAAATGTAAACCAGTAAGTACACCTTCCCAGTAAAACTCAATAGGGATGATGTTACCATAGGATGAACTTGCTTAGAATGGTATCTAAAATAGCAGATGTAGATGGGACTCCAGTATATGTATAAAAATATTTAGTGAAAATATAAAAATTGCTGTTTAATCAAGGAGATAGCTAGCCAGTATTGGCACCCGTGAACCTGTTATACAGAGCCTGCACCAGAATGGGAAGAAAGGGTGGGAAAAAATGTAATTGAAAATAATTTGTCCAATATGACTAAACATACTCAAAAGACTTCAAATTAAACAAAGTAACTGCTTTATTTTAAGCACACTATCAAAATTCAATCCCTATTACCTTGATAAAAGTCCTGTAAAAGGATTGATGTAAGTTTTTGCACATCTGCTTAAAAACAAAGAATTTATGTTGGATGTTTTTAAGTCCTATGAGTGGATTGGATATATTACAAGGATGGAATCTGGCACAAGGATAGCAAGGATTGGGGAAAATACGGGCTAACTTACTTATGTTTGTGAATAAAACCCCAAATTTAGGCAAAAAATAGTCGTGCTGTGATTAGGAAAGAGTCTGAAAGTTTTTCCAAATCTTCTATTTTGGCCTAAATTATGCAACCTCCTAACCCTGAGAATTAGAATGCATCTGGAAACCTGTGAATGCTAAACCCAGTGGAATAAAGTGTGGCTTCATTCACTTGGCCTAATTTTATCAGTTGCCCCCTGAGGGGACATATTGTAGAGTAGGAGGGTTGTCACTTTGGCTCAAATAGCCAAAACATGTTTATAATGATAGTAAAGGAAATAATATAGTTTCTGCACTCAGGTACATCTATTTCTTTTAAGGCACAAACTGAACATGGGACACATAAGAGCAACACACTGTTGCCATAATTAGTGGGAGTTACATTCCCATGCAGTAAATGCTGACATTGTAATGATGGCAGCTAAAATAGTTGCCACTGGGATTTTAACTCAGTTATCTTAGGCAGCGCTGGGACATGTATGTTCCAATGATGTCCCTGTAGTAAAGTTCTCCCCTTAACCACCTTAACACATTACACTACATATTAACCCCTACTTCACCCTAGCACGCTACACTAACCCTAACACTAAACAAACATCTACAGCACCCTTAAACTAACCATTGGCATGTCACACTCTACCTTAACTATTATTCTAGCACCAAGCTTAAAGGACCACTCTAGGCACCCAGACCACTTCAGCTTAATGAAGTGGTCTGGGTGCCAGGTCCTTCTAGGGTTAACCCATTTTTTCATAATTATAGCAGTTTCGGAGAAACTGCTATAATTATGAATGGGTTAAGCCTTCCCCCTAATCCTCTAGTGGCTGTCTCATTGACAGCCACTAGAGGCGCTTGCGTGCTTCTCACTGTGATTTTCACAGTGAGAGCACGCAAGCGTCCATAGGAAAGCATTGTAAATACTTTCCTATGCGACGGGCTGAATGCGCGCGCAGCTCTTGCCGCGCGTGCGCATTCAGCCGGCGTGGCGTAACGGAGGCGGAGAGGAGAAGGAGAGCTCTCCGCCCAGCGCTGGAAAAAGGTAAGTTTAAACACCTTTCCCCCTTCCAGAGCCGGGCGGGAGGGGGACCCTGAGGGTGGGGGCACCCTCAGGGCACTATAGTGCCAGGAAAACGAGTATGTTTTCCTGGCACTATAGTGGTCCTTTAACCTAAAAGTATCATGTAACATAAAAATACGTAAGGCGTGTATAAGGGGTATAGAATGCCATCTCTGGGTTTTGGATATTTGTCTCATAGTTTATTTGCATTAATGTATTGCTAAACAAAAAAAATCAATACATGCATAGCCAATATAATTGTTCAGAAATTGCTGAAAATCAAGCGTATGTCCCTTGCTTCCAATTTTTTTTTTGTCTCATAGGCATGTTACACTGACGTGTTTCGGAGACTTGCCAATGCTTGCAAGCTCAAGTCGCCAGGTGGCTATGACTCAGTAGGGCGCTCCTATCCACAGATCTCAATCCAAAGTTACAGGGTAAGTGTACCTTACTTAATTAAACAGGGTTTTGATTAAAATGGAGAGATCTGTTTTTTTTTGTTTGTTTTTTACTACAGTTATAAAGAGTGTCTCAAATTAAAGAATGTCATGATTGTGGCTGTAGTGATCCACATGGCACACAATCCTTCCCAGGGATCATTTTTGACCTTCTGAACCATTCTTCAATTGTAATACAGAATGCACTAATCTACATTATGCAAATCACATTCATTAGAACCTTCCTGGGGTCATGGAGTTCCAACTATCCTTGAGAAGAATGTGCTTCAACAATAAATCATGTCTTAAAGAAACACTAGAGTTTTAGGAATACAAACTTGTATTCTTAACACTGTAATGTTGGACTACCTTTTAAGGTCTCCACCCCCTCTCTGTGGAGAAATAATATTTTTAACTCACCTTTTCTCTAGCGCCATGCCGTTCTCACCGGAGCTAACCCTGCCTCCAATCTTGATGATCTCAGCCAATCCATTGCCTTTCCATAGAAAAAGCATTGGGAGGCTATTCTGCATGTGCAGCAAAACGCCACACTGCGCCAATCAGCATCTCCTCATAGAGATACATTGAGTGCAGAGCATGGAGACGGTGAACATAGGTGCTTTACACTGTGCAGCAAGGGACTAGGAAGCACTTCTAGTGGCCATCTTTGTTCACTGCACTTGGAGGCGGTACTAGGCAGCAATGTAAACACTTCCTTTTCTCTGAGAAGGAAGTGTTTACAGTGCCAAGACTGCAGGGACATGCTGTATACACCAAAACCATTACATTAAGTTGCAGTGGTTCTGGTGACTATAGTGTCCATTTAAGGGATCTGCTGGTTCAAGCTGGTGGGGATCCATGGATAATCACATGTGGAAACGGTGCTCATGGCTAAGTACTACTGATTTATGCATTTTGACAAGGCTCGTTGTAGGGATAGATTTTGGGGGGTTTGAGGGAAGGGGGAATTTTCCAATATATGATTGAACTGAACAAAGTGACTAGAAGTGAATGTTGTTCTAGTTTGCAGCGTTCAAACAGGGATCTGGCCACCCCAGATGTTAATGGCCTACAACTACTTTGGAGATTCTTTGGTGATTGACAGAGCAGAGCTGTAGGAGTGAAGCAGTCAATGTGCAATGAATAAACTCCTCTCAATCAATCAGGGATCATATGTTTATAGTTCTCTCTGTAGGAGTTGGTGGGCATTGCAAGTTACATTTAAAGGGGGGATATTAAAATGTTAGAATGAGACGGTCCTATATAGAAAGAAAATTTTAGATTGGCCAGTAAAATAAATGGAAATACCAGTCACTCATAACAAGAGTACCTTGGCCAAAACCTCATGAGACTGAGCCTGGAAAGCGATAGCGGACTGTGATTTGTAGAAGAAGAGAGAATAAAGGCTATCAATTGGATACACAATGAGAGGAGAACATGATGACTAAATCACCTTCTCATCTATTTCCAGGATAAATGGCTGAAATCCAGCAAGAGACAAATAAAAAGTCAAGTTTTTGTGATATCGACTATTCACTAAAGTGAGAATTCAAAGTGAATTTCTATTTTAAAGCAGCACTGTCAATATCTGGGGACTTTGCATATTTTAAGACCCCCTTTCCCCCAACAGTGACAGCACCACTGGGGGGGGGGTCTGGTGGCCAGGAAAGGTGGGATTTACTCATCTGAACCTATCCATCACGAGTGCCGCCATTTTTTGCTGGATACTCTTCTTCAACCCCTGGCGCTTCAGCCGATGTAACTGCAATACTCTTGCACGTGTGTGAGAGTTCAGAGTTTAGGTCAACAGAAGATTGCCAGATCCTCCACAGCTACTGCTAATATCTCTGCTTCTTTGCAGCCATCACTGGTGAAGGCTGGGAGATTGACACTTCTAGACAGCGATAGCTCCCCCTCAGTGTCAGACATGCGAAAAATACTGAGACAAAGTAGTCCCTACAGTGCCGCTTTAAGGACAGAGTAGCGAAACAAAAAGCATAGCCGACTTTGAGAATTTTTCCAGATCAGCTATTTTGATCTTAAATTCCTTTGTAAAGGAATATAACAAATGTACCCTTTCTTTCATAAACAGAGCCGGCATACTGGAGGGCACGGGGGAAGAATCTAATACTGTTAGTGGAGTTTTGTCATTTGTGTTATAATTGTCCCACTTTGGTGGAGCGTTAAGTTAATCATTATTAAGTTAATGGTGTTTTTTCCTCCCTGTAGACACATTCATATGATCTCAGCCATTAGTTACCTTCCACAGTCCATGCACCTTCAAAACCAGCATTCATCTTGTACTGAACGGTTACCACTGGGATCAAGGGTATGGACAAGCTACTACAATCACTGCCAAAGACAGAAGAAATTAATCTAATCTTACTATTCACCAAATGTTGCAGCATTTTTATCATTTGTTGGACTTTAACCTAGATCAGTTTACTGTGTAACAGACTGAAACATATGCCCTCAGAATTATACACTTGTTATGTATGTGTTGTAATGATCTGTGTTTACAGGAACACTCCAATAGGGAAAGTAATTATGTATTTTTATTTTTTTTATTGGGATTTATCTAAAGACTGCTTGCAAAATCAGCAGCCTTTGTAATCCGTCCCCTTCTAACCACGCCCAGACTTTCTGTGGCTGTCCAATCACAGACCTCCCAATGCAGTTCCTTTGGAAGTATTTGCAAGACAGGTGCTCTGGGTAACTGCTGCTTGTTGAGTTTAGCTACACTTCGCTAACAAACTAGGAAGTAACAAGGCTGGTGTGATTGACAGGCAGGAAGGTATCACGAGGATAATTTATAAATGTGCCAATTTCTATTGAAATCTGCAGTTTTTGTAAAATGAAAAAGGAGAAGGGGAAAAAACAAACAAAAAACCGCCCCACTATTTACAGACAAAGCATATGCCTTTAACACTTTGAAAGCCAGGAGGCATACCCAAGCGTAAAGAAATATTTTGAACACATATTTGGCACTCAAAAGGTTTAATACAGGCGAACACAATGACATTCATAGGGCTTAAATGAGGACAAGAGCTAGGGCATGGAGAGCAGAAAGTATTATAAATGAAATTCAATGTCTTGACCTATATGTAACCCTTTCTTTTAAAAGGATGAAAGGTTGAAGACAATAGTAAGCAATATTCAAAGTAATTATTCTGCATTTTAAATATATAGAATGCTTTCGGAACAAAAAAAAAAAAAATGTATTTATTTTTGCAATCATATTTTTTTTTTTATATATGTAAATAGATCTGCAGGATGCAGGATATAAGCATTTTCACTAAATACTGATGTTTACTTATTGTATTCACCCAAATGTACGAGAAATGCTTTTTAAATGCACGTACATAAAGCGATAAAAGGTACTCCTTATTGTATACATATACAACCAATTTGCACACATGTATAAAGTACTTCTCATATCCATGTATAGAATGTATTATTCTATAGTTATCTGTATTGTACCTATAATATTTATCTACCTTTACTATATGTATGCACCCCTAAGAACCTGTGCCAGTTTAATGTTAATAAAACATTTTTCTACAAAATACTGTGTGAGAATGTGTTGGTGCCCCTGGTAGTTTAGAGGAAAGATGTTAGCAGAAACCCTATCATTTCAATATGTTTGGTCCTGTTGCCCCTCTTATTGAAGGCGATGGCATAATAAAGCATCTCTTTACATTGATACTCAAGGCATGCACTTCAAAAAAGGTTATTCAATAAAGTGTAAATTGTAAGATTCACAGTAAAATAAAATACACAATTGAATGGTTGAAGTCTACAAGAGTGCCGCATAACGCTAAATATTTGTGTGTGTTTTTTGTGGGGAAAATAAAGAAAAATGAAATGAGATCAGAGTCCCTACAAAAATCAGGGATGGGCCAGCCAGTGGGTTTCTTGCCTCCTAAAATAAAAAAAAATTAAATAGCACATTGGATGCTACAGCATGGGTTTAATACATTCTATATTGCCAGACACATTTTGACAATCTGTATATTAGAGAGCTTTCTATCTTGCATATAATTTATCATGCGTTAATTGATCTCATGTGGTTACTGAGCCAGCAACCTCTGAGTAATAATGGAGTGGGAATTATGGCTATAAAGGGCTGCATACGGAGCATCTGATGGAGCCAGTGATTGTACTTATAAAAAATACTCTTTAATATGAAAAAAAAAAAATGAAACACCCTTTTCATGAGTAAAGCAGAAGATTCCCCAGCTGTCCAGGTTCTTCACACGAGTTAAATAAGCAGATTCCATTAATGCTTGTGCACAAGGAGAGAGTCAAAGAAGACTGCCCTCCTCTATATGAAAAACATCTTATATACAGCTTAAACAACACAGCTCATGTGCCAGGAACAGCATAGTGACAAAAGATCAATGTATTGATATATGCAAAACACAGTCTCCTGTATTTAGTTGCCTCCAAACCTACTCATCCTGCTATGGTCAGGTCAGTCTACTTCTGTATCACTTCTGACTATTCGCCCTTAGGTGATAATCCACCTTTACCTGCTTCCATTAGGATCATTAAATAGAAAAAAAACAATTTCTAAAACTACTTGGAGCAAAAGATACACATACGCATCCACACTTAACCCTTCACGCATGCAAAGTCACACAGAGGGCAAACACGGCTGATATAAGAATAAGATGGCTACTAGGGAGCTAAGGCACTTTCTCAACACTCACATGGCCTAAATAAGTAAAAGGGACAGGGAGACCCATCTAAGACGAGGCAGGCGAGAGTCACAGCGAGCTGTGGATACGGCTATCAGAAGGTGGCCTCACGCTCTGGTACTCCCTCAACAGTGGGAGAACTGCAGTCTGGAAAGACCAAAATTATGTTTGCACAATAATGAAAGCCCCTCACTACAATTCTGTAGCAGCTATAGGAAAGGTATATAGAGAAGCTCTATGGAAGAGGTCTATAGAGAGCTCTGCCCTGTACAAACTGAGGAATTCCTTCTGCTAAGATCAAAAGTGGGATTGGCTCTCTTCCTCCAATTGTCAAAATCCATTTCCTTATTGCTTTCATACACATTCTGCTTTTTAAGAGTTAGCAGCACAGATGGAAAAACAAAAACACAGGATTGCCCAGAAGACACATTTGAATCTTTTTAAGGAATTAGACATTGAGAGAAGAAACTAAATGTGCTTTGTATCTAAACGTTATCTGCAGGTGTGCCTGAGCACGGGTTCCTCCAGACTTCTTGCTTCTTTGAGTCTGCAAATAAAAGTATAAAATAAAAAAAATAAAAGTTGCAAATTGTCTATTTTGTCCATATCCAATGTATATGAAGGGCAAAACTGTTGCTTCTAATTTCTATTTTCATCATACGTTCGTGAATTTGGTTTTAAAGGAATTTTAATTCATCCAAATTTTGCAAAAAGAGACAAAGACTAAAGGGACAAACAAATGTTAGCCCAATAGTCAAAGATTGGACTAAATGGGTAAGATAGGGGCATAACCCCATATAGTTAAGAAAGACAAAAAATAGAAATACAGAGTCAGTGCGATATGGAGAAGGCACCAAGATTACTCTGGTTGTCCAAAAAAAACATACCGCTCAGACTCAAATCTTACCCATATACAATAGTTAGCTCAAAAGGCTAAACCAATGAAAAATAAAATATAAAACAAAAATAATCTTAACCTTTATTTAAATAACTACGATAAAAATAAACGTGAAAAAGAAAAATATCGTTTAAAGCCGGATTATGAGGCTTGGTTAAAGCCTGATTATGCTGCTGTTTAGCTGCTTTTTAATTTAATGGGGACCCAAATGGATTTTTACTGAGCTCAACGTAGAGGTCTAATTTCAAGGGACTATTCTCTTGACACACTATGAAGAACACTTATGTTTTGTAAATTAGATTGAGGGCACAGTACAAAGTATCTAATTGGGGAACTATATTGCCTTTTTGTTTCCCAGATACTTTGAGACTGCTGAGACTGTGTGTGTTTGCTTTGTTTACTTGTGGGCTTGGGATACTGGCCTTTTTTACAACCTGTGTGTCTAAACTTAAAGGACTCACACTGATATATATTTGCTTCAACAATACTATATTCACCCTACCTTATATGCAGTCTTGTGAATACTTTGTTTAAAAAAAAATTGCTAGTGTCTCAATTGACAAGCTCTGGAGTTTTAGTGGCTGGACTGAATAATAGACGTTTTTCCTTCAGGACACTTCTTGTTACAATATAGTGTTGTCACTGTATTTCTAATTTTGAGCTTCACCAGCTTATTATTAACTTATAATACTTTATGAATTGATAGCTTGTCTCTTTCACAAATATATCCTTTAGTGCTCTCTGGTGGGTACGGCTATCTTCTTAACTATCTACTTTGAACTATATTTGCTGATCCTAGTTTGTGGAATAAACAACTATATATATAGATTTAAGTACCATTTAGTTATAGGTGTTCATAAGATATTTGATCTATTAGCTCCTTGTTTTATGTTTTATATTTTATTTTTCATTGGTTTCATCCTTTTGAGCTAACTATTGTATATGGGTAAGATTTGAGTCTGAGCGGTATGTTTTTTGGACACACGGAGTAATCTTGGTGCCTTCTCCATATCGCACTGACTCTGTATTTCTATTTTTTGTCATCCGAATTTTGGTCGATCTGGGGGATCCTCCGCATTCCATTTTGCCCTATCGCAAAACAAATCACGGTGAACCGTTTTGTGAATCAGAGTTATGCCCATGGTACATAGAGGGTTTATGGTTAGGGGACACAGCTGCCAAATTGTTTTAATCACAGATCAAGTGAAAAATTAACAGAAGGGGGAATGGTGAACTTTATAGTGGCACAATTATTACCGCATTTGTTTCCTTACATCTGTATTTTCCCCCAAAACCTTTTGACTATGTCTATTTAATGTAGATTGGAAGGTCACAGGCATTCTAGCATAGTATCTCGCAGGAGGTTTAACCCCCACAGCAGCGTTATCTTCCTTTGAGTCAGTGTATGTATTTATTAATACTCTAAAATATATGCAAAAAAGAATTGGCAATTATTCAAAGCACTCTGGATAAGAGCACTATTTGTACTGATAAAGAATATCCAAGCTTTCCAGGAATACATATTGTGTGGGGGTACAGTGCAGGGACACAAAGGTTTTGGCAGACATTTTGTATGCTGTGCTCTGTGTTCAACTGCTTCTTGGTAAAGACTGAATGACTAGCACGGGAAGGAGTTTTAAGGTTTTTATTTCACGATGACAAAAGATAAAATCAAGCTACATCCTTTCATAAAAATGGAAATATAAAGTTTTTCTTACCACTGAAACAGTAAAAACCAACGATGTGACAAAAAGATAGATATAAATCAACACCAGTTATCAAAAAGTCAAGGAACGTGAGCTTCTTCCACAAAAAAGCCAATTACAAAAAAAAAAAGGAAATAAAGCCATAAAATAGGTTTTAGAAATTAAGATATTAAAGTCTAATTATCCTTAGTCCGATTTTCTTGAAGTTTGAAACATTTAAAGGACAGACAGAACACTAGATAGAGTTGCTGTGTGGGACCCATGTCCAGTTTGCATATTGCCCACCGTCTAACAAACACAACACACAATAGAGACAGCACATAAATAGGTTACAAAAATAAACATGCTGCTTTGGCTTCAGAAAATAACTTTACTATTACCATCATAGAACACACAATTAGATAGATTTCAGCCTAGCAGTCATCTACTCCGTAGAAACAAAGCAAGCTATAACAAAAAGTCTATTTTCAGCTGCTATAGACAAAGGTGGCAGCCATTTTAACGGGCAACGTTTGTAATGCAGTTTCTCTTGTCCGAATTGTAAATCATAACAGTGTGGGATCTGGAGCAAGGTGAATAATGGAAACCAAAATTTTATTTCAGCTCAACCATAAAAGCTTACTATTCAGAAATTGCACCAAAAAATGGAAATGTAACATCAGCTCTGTTATATTGTATGATCGCCCCTCCAGGCCGTCTAATAAATTAATTAAACGCATGACGAGTCAGCTGCCTTCCTTCCACTTTTTATCTCAAGACTGTATCCAATGCGTTTGGCGGCTGCTCCCCACACATCAGTACTCTAGTGAAGTGCGTACACCCATCTGCCCAAGTTAAGGCTGTTACACAGAAAAAAAAAAAAATTACTGTAAGCAAATCTGTTTAAGGTTTACTGTAGTCAAAAAAAATTACAAGAAAAATCTAATAAAGTGCATTTTAACAGAAGGTACATTCATAAACTGTTTAACAATCACTTCACACCATTAAATAAAGCATTGTTTCCCCTTGCAATGATCCATTTTCCTTAAAATGTATATTAAGACTTGAGCAATTGAAATCAATCCAAACTGAGAAGACCCCATTTCTGTTTCTCCTTTCTCTCTGACAGCTACGAAGGGCAAGTCTTATAACAATGATTGACGGGGAGTGCTCAGTTTCAGGACAGAGTAGTAGACCTCTGTCTGTTTTTTCCCCATGACTGTATATATACATTTTGTTTAAAAACACTGATTTTAGAAGAAAAAAAAACATAGAAGTTCCATACAGCTAAATGAAAATCACATGGAGTGTTTTTTAATGGTGCTCTGCACTTGCACTTTTGACTCTAGGTACCCGAGCTCTCCAATGAACATACCTGTTCTATGCTTGCACGGAATGCCCGGTTGTCCATCTCAAAATGGTGGCTCTGCTGATCTGGGTCATTGCGCCGAGTAAAGCTAGCCTTCTGTCTCTTTCCAAAAACCTTTGTCTTGATGCACTGCAGTAACAGTAAACACATGATACTACCGTCTACCAATATCGCATTCTATAGAACTTCGTCCCAGTCAATAGTCCTTTGATTTCATTGGTAGCAGATAATAAATGCAATATTATTCCAATGTTGTTAAGCCCTTATTATACATGAAGCAGATAATACATTAATGTATGGATATGTGCACACTTCAAAATACTCAGCATTGAACATTATACCAAGATTGCAACAATGTTCTCATTTTATGCCCCTTGGGCAAAAAGGGGCATTTCCCAGACAATTATTCGAAAAGATTGGCAAATGTGCCCATTTTTGGAACATACCCAACAGAATTGGAAAACGAATAGCAGATTAGTAAATGAATGCCGTTGGCTATGTCCGGTCCGTATGTGCCTTCTGTTTGTTTTTATATGGAAATGCTGCTCTAGATTTTGGGGCTATCCCATAATATTGGTGTTAAGCCAATATGCTGTAAGCGAGACTCCAGAGGGAGAGGACAACATTTCTGCGTGATTTTCTAACCAATGGTTTCTTGCACAAATACCTTTTAGAGTGACTAAGTTCTCATAAGTTTTGAATTTACATATATATAGTCTATGCGAACATCATATTCTGGGAAATTAAACTTTGCAATTATCACTACCCAATAGAACTCAGATATCACTTACGAAGTAAAACATAATTGATACAATATTTAACATTCTATAATCACATTTACATCTGATTGTACGTTTCATAAATAAATGCTTTGTCAACCTGAAGCACATGACCTACCTTCACAGGATCTTACCATTCCCATGTTGAACCTTACCACGAATGCAGAGAGTAGAACTGCATAAAATTTTGGAAAGGAAAAGAAAAAAAAAATCCCATATACCACATGCTAAGCACACATACCACATAGACTAGTCCAGGAAGTATCAAGATGCTGAGTCCACACATGACAATAATAGCCACAGCAAATCCTGGGAAATCAACATATTCAAAGTTTGTCTCGGGCTTTGAATCTGGAAGGATATAAAGGCAGAAAATTATGACAAAGTCAATGAGAGGGAAAAAAAAAAAATCAATCTCTGGAAAAGTAAAAATATTGTGTTGCAAATTATTTTTCTACACACAAAAAAGGGAAGAAAAATATAAAAAAAAATAATACTTCCAAAAACTGAGTAAATCTTAGATTATTGCTCTTACATGCTGTCTTTGCTACAGACTATAATTTATTCCCCATGGTTGTCTAAAACAAGAAAGTTCTCTTTAGAGAACAACCTGAAAATGCAACTTCATAATATATAAAAATGACTGCTAGCATTACATGATCCATGAATGTCCTCCAACCACAATTTGCCACCAGTACTGAACAGATGGTGACTGATACCAGGTCAGGTGCACACAGTATCTCTGCACGGCTGGCTTGAAGGTACACCTACACAGAGCAAGGAGACATTAAAATGGTCTCTGTCCTGCCTTGACCCAACTTTAACTACAACTCATATCTTACTTTTCATTTCCAAACTTTCTTGAATGGTGTGACGGAAGCTCCTGTGCCACAGCCATTTGGAGAGGCTTTTAGGCCAGCCTTATGCCCACATATGAAGGTCCACATCCCAAGAGCCACTAAAATTCTATTATCAATGTTGGGAGGGGTAGGATTGTCCAGGATGCTTACTGTGCTTTTCCAGCTGAATTAAAAGGACCTCTAGGGCTCATCTGGCCTCATCATTTTGCACATTAAGCACTTGACCAGAGATACCCCGATACAGTCTGGAACAGTTCCTCTGATCAGGACTGTGCCATGGTCCAGTCAATCTTTAAGTGGGTATCGCTTGGTCCCCACAAATAGAGCGCTATTTGGAGGGGAGACAGGATAGGCAAGGATGTACCGGATTGCACCTGAAGCTTGAGTGCTCCTTTCCCCAGATGTCTGGGAACCCCTTTTTGGAGGCCAGGACCAAGCTCTGAAAAGCCAGTGCTTACATTAAAAAGACTGCTGGGGCAAGCTATAGACACCATGACAAAAACATTAACTTGTAGTGGTTCTGGTGACTATAGTGTCCCTTTAATATCCCAGTGTGTTTTCCTTACATAGTGCTAGCGTTTGCTGTATCAGGTTAGAAAAAAAATAAAAACATAAAAATAAAAAAAAGGAATATACTGCAATTTATAAAGCTAGGTGGGCAAGGTTAAACAAAGTGCATCTCAGTGAATGCCATTTCTTAACGGTCCTCACTTGGAAAGCAAAAAAAAAAAAAAGTTTTGTTTCATTTCAAAATGGCAGTTTCTCTTTTCTGGAAAGTTGAACATAAATTGTATTCTCAACTTGACTATACGCAATATGAAAGGGGAAAATAAAATGTATAATGTAAATTAGGAGGGGTGTTGAAGATGAAGGATCCTGGAGTTACTTTTCAAATTATATCATTTCCATTATAAAAGCATCACCTCCAACAATCAAGGATGTCAGCTCGACCTTATAGGGGGATGACCCCAAGTTACCACTGGATCGAAGAGAGGCCACAAAATCACGAAGGACTTCCCCACTGCCCGGAGCTGGGAATGAATACAGAAGCTTCCCTTTACACACAATGGAGCCACTCCTAGACAGGAAAAAAAGTGTATGTTTCTAAAAGAATACTTCTTGAAATGATAGCATTTGACAAGTATTGTTGTCCTTTGTCCTAACATCTGGGAAAGAAGTGTAACGATGAAAAAAAAACAGCTATAGAGGGTGTAAAACTGCTGTCCCGGATCCTCCTGTGTCTGTGTGTGAGGCTGGACAGGAAGTGGAAGGGATCACCTCCTACTAACAGCCTCACACAGGAATTGCATTCCAGGAGTAGCAGGGACAGCATCGAGTGATGCACATTGTTTACCAGCCCCTAAATCTTTGTTATTAAATCATAGGAGGCTGATTGGACTACAGAAGAAATAGGAGGGTAAGCACTTTGCAAAAAAAATAAAAAAAATCTTTATCTTAATCCTAGGTTTAAACTTCTCTTAAAACACCTCATGTACCCCAATATAAAACTGAATATATCTAAACAACCTCGGTAAACTGTGATATTAACTGCGGTTATAGGGGCCCTTTTAATAACATGACAGCAGTGGATAGCTGTAGTGATTGACCCATTAAAATCAGTCTATTCAGTCAATCTATTAAGGAATTCCATCTCTAAACATAATGTCCTCACAGAAAAGGGTACATAGCATAACATGTATAGAGCTACGAACTCTAATAACCAGGAAATGCACAATGGCATAGAGGGACTAATTCAAAGTTTCAGATTTTAAAAGAATGTATTATTGTGAGCAAACAAAATTAAAAAAATTTAAGTGCCATTAAGTTCATTAGGGGGAGGGGGTGAGAATTATGTAGAGTCAGAATCTCACCTAAATTCCCCAATGATCACTTGCAGGGGGCCATAATCCTGCAGGGTGGATCGGACCTAAAAAGGATCAGAAAGAGTGCATTTACACAAAATACAGAACGGTAAATGCAACAGAGCAGGTGAAGTTCTGGAGTGTTTTTACATTATACAACGTTGGGCTGGAATAAAAGATAAATGAAATTCACAAGTATTAGGCGAGTGCTGATCACTAAAGCATAACATTTTCATTCATTTAGGAAAAATCTGGTGTAGCTTTCAAAAATCATATATATATATGTTTCACGGTTTAAGAAAAACAAAAGCATGAAAGATCTGGCAGTCCATTCTACCAACAGAATATTTAGTGCCGATGTATAGTTTTAGCTGTGAAAAACTGTATGCTTCCAGATTTATGCCAATGAACATGTCTATACAAAGTGATCAGTGTAAACAGGTGTCTTGGTATCCTTTCTATGGACATGACAATCACAGGTAATCTACAATACAATAACAGAAAAAAACTGTGTAATATTGCAAAAAGAAAAAAAGGGGGGGGTGGGAGAAGAAATAGGTAGCACTCACAAACCAAATATTGATTGTAGGCATATCACTGATCTTATTGTAGCCTCAGGACATATGGAACATCGTTGCATGTAAGGAAATGATAGTGCAGAGATACAAGGCACACTTACAGGATAAAAGTGGCATATAGGCACATCACAATCTGTCAAATAGGTATTTTGGCCCTTGGATCCAGAAGAACTGGAAAACCATGGATAAAAATAAAATAAGCATTAATAAACTTTATACACTAAAAATAGCCTTACGCGTTGCGTTGAATATCCTTTGAACTTCTTCAGGGGAATAAAGCAAAAAGTTCCTTTCTTCCCGAAGGCTTGAAGACAATAGGCACCAGTGGTCTGTTTTTAAATCAGACTGGTGCTGGAGCTGGAAATTTCGGATCTGTGTAACTAGATCCTTCCGGGTGTGTCCCTTGGATGCTTATGGATTTTTAAGTCAAGCCTCTCTTTCGTGTTGCGACTGAACGGGCGGACGTCGGCATCAAGTAAGCGATGCGTTCCACCGCTCATTAAGTAAAGTAATCAGTCCATAATGTCCATAGAAAATATAAAAATTAAGCCAATATTGCAAAACATAATTGGTAAATAGCCCAAAGAATGAGGGAATCGATTACATAAAATAGATAAAAATATAATCTTACAAACTCCCTAAAAGGAGTCTAGAATAAAGTAATAAAAATAATTTATAAAGGATGAAATCTATAAAATCAGTCTGAAAAGGGCACGATTATAAAAAGCACATTAAATCGAAATCAACAATCAGTCCTCTTGGTTGTATCGTTTTTAGTGTATGTATCCAATAACCCTCTCTTTTCCTTAGATGCATCAGAAGGTCACCACCTCTTTCATCTAAAGTTACCTGTTCAATGACTGTACATTTAGGATTATTAATATTAAAAAGAAGGCATTTACTACAGTACACTGGTACTAAATGTGTCAACATACGGTTTTAAATATTGTTTTTATGTTCTTAAAATCTAAACTTGTTTTCCTTCCCGTCCTCCCTACATATTCCAAACCACGTCCACATGTGAGGAGGTATACAGCATGCGTGGAGGAACAGGATACCAGACTTTTAATTTTACATTTTTCCCCAGAGTTTGTGTGCTAGTAAAATTCTTAATGCCCTTGAATTGATGATCACAGCTTTTACAACTGCCACACATATAAAAGCCTTCCTTATGCTTCATTTTATTTTTCCCAGAGCAAAAAGTGCTTGATGCCAATATTTGCTTAAAATTGACTGCTTTCCTGAAAATAATTTTAGGGACATGGGGGATCTGTTTATTTAGAAACTCCTCTTCCACGAGTAGCCCCTAATGTTTTTGAATGATTCTTTGTATGTCAAAAGCTCTTGAGTTGTATTGGGTATTGAAAGCAAAATCAAAATTAGGATTTGTAATAGTGGCATCTTTCATTTTATCCATAAGAAGGTTATTTCTATAAATTTTCCCCACCCTTTCAATTTCCGCATCTAAAAATGCCAGAGAATAGCCCTTTTCTAAAAAATGATTCCTCAAAATATCTGCTTGTGAATAAAAATAATCCAGGTCACTGCAGTTTCAAATTAATTGGCTTTTGGGGACCTCCCTAAGCCAATTGAGGTGATGTGCACTCTTTGTGTCAATAAAACTATTAGAATCTATATAGTTTAAAAAAAAAAAAAAAAAAGCTATCTTAGGGTGTAAAAACCAATGATAAGGAATTATTCACATAAAAAAAAAAAAAAATTATATTATATATATATATTTAAATCATTAATCATTAAGCCCATCTATGGATGGATATTCAAATGATTTACTGAATCCTACCCACAACAAAGAGCCTCAGAAATTTAAACCCAAGTCTAAATTTTGTCCAAACAATAAAGGAAGTCAGATTGAAGCCTTCAACAAAATAAGAGATTTTGACAAACTTGGAAAAAATCCAGATAAAAGGAATTAAACATAAGAATTTAACCCAGATAGAAAGCAAAATTTTATTAGAGCTGAAAAAAGGAAAAGATTTAACTATTAAAAATGCAGACAAGGGAGGAGGTGTAGTTATGTCAACCCAATATTATGTGATGGAAGCTTATAGATTGTTAAATGATCACCATACTTATATAAAACTTATCAATCCTAATCATAAGTTTAATCAAAAACTCAAACAACTTTTAAACCATGCAAAACAAGCTGGTATTCTTTATGATTAAACATTCTTTTATTTTCGCTGAATTTACGAAGGTACCCACTTTTTATTTCCTCCCAAAAATCCATAAATGTAAAGAAAAAACACCTGGAAGGCCCATAATGACTGACGACTAAACTGAGTAGATTGATTTTCATCTACAGAAATATGCTCAGGGAGTGTATCTTACCTTAAACGACACCAAGCACCTTATCCAGGAGTTAGTTGATTGAATGGGAGGAGGATTATATTTGGGCAACTCTAGATGTGATATCTCTCTATACCGTGATAGACCACGATCTCGGTATAGAGGCAGTTAAAAGAAATTTGGAAAGAGATACAACTTTGGAACCTGCTTTCTGCTCCTTTTTAGAAGAGACCATCCGCTTCATTTTAACTCACAATTTTTTCAGTTTCAATGAGTAGTATTTCTTGCAGATTAAAGGCACAGCCATGGGCACAAAGTTTGCACCAAGCTATGCCAATGTGTTTATGGACTATTGGGAAAGACTGTCCGATAACACCTATGGTGCAAACGTGTTGCTCTGGAGGCGCTACATTGATTATGTCCTTGTAATTTGGCGTGGCCCCATAGACGGACTTAATGATTTTATTTTATGTATGTGAATCATTCTTTATCATTGGTTCTTACCCCCAAGATAGCCATCTCTTGACGTATCAATATATAGAGAATCATTTAATTAAGATTAAAACTTTTTTTAAACTATAGAATCTAATAGTTTTATTGACAAGAGTGGGCATCACCCACAATTGGCTTAGGGTGCCCCAAAAGCCAATTCATTTGAATACATAGAAACTGCAGTGACCTTGATTATTTTTATTCACAAGCAGATATTTTGAGGAATCATTTTTTTAGAAAAGGGCTATTCTCCGGCATTTTTAGATGCGGAGATTGAAAGGGTGGGGAAAATTTATAGAAATAACCTTCTTATGGATAAAATGAAAGATGCTACTATTACAAATCCTAATTTTGATTTTGCTTTCAATACCCAATACAACTCAAGAGCTTTTGACATACAAAGAATCATTAGAAAACATTAGGGGCTACTCGTGGAAGAGGAGTTTCTAAATAAACAGATCCCCCATGTCCCTAAAATTATTTTCAGGAAGAGAGTCAATTTTAAGCAAATATTAGCAACAAGCACTTTTTGCTCTGGGAAAAATAAAATGAAGCATAAGGAGGGCTTTTATACATGTGGCAGTTGTAAAAGCTGTGATCATCAATTCAAGGGCATTAAGAATTTTACTAGCACACAAACTCTGGGGAAAAATGTAAAATTAAAAGTCTGGTATCCTGTTCCTCCACGCATGCTGTATACCGCCTCACATGTGGACGTGGTTTGGAATATGTAGGGAGGACGGGAAGGAAAACCAGTTAGATTTCAAGAACATAAAAACAATATTTAAAACCGTATGTTGACACATTTAGTACCAGTGTACTGTAGTAAATGCCCTCTTTTTAATATTAATAATCCTAAATGTACAGTCATTGAACAGGTAACTTTAGATGAAAGAGGTGGTGACCTTCTGATGCATCTAAGGAAAAGAGAGGGTTATTGGATACATACACTAAAAACGATACAACCAAGAGGACTGATTGTTGATTTCGATTTAATGTGCTTTTTATAATCGTGCCCTTTTCAGACTGATTTTATAGATTTCATCCTTTATAAATTATTATTTTTATTACTTTATTCTAGACTCCTTTTAGTGAGTTTGTAAGATTATATTTTTATCTATTTTATGTAATCAATTCCCTCATTCTTTTGGCTATTTACCAATTATGTTTTGCAATATTGGCTTAATTTTTATATTTTCTATGGACATTATGGACTGATTTACGCTACTTAATGAGCAGTGGAACGCATCGCTTACTTGATGCCGACGTCCGCCCGTTCAGTCGCAACACGAAAGAGAGGCTTGACTTAAAAATCCATAAGCATCCAAGGGACACACCCGGAAGGATCTTGTTACACACAGTTTGGTCTGAAATTTCCCACGCCAACGCCAGACTGATTTAAAAACAGACGACTGGTGCCACTAGTCTTCAAGAGGAAATGAACTTTGCTTTATGCCCCTGAAGAAGTTTAAAGCATATTCAACGCAACGCGTAAGACTATTTTTAGTGTATAAAGTTTATTAATGCTAATTTTATTTTTATCCACTGTTTCCTGGTTTTCCTGTTCTTCTGAATCCAAGGACAGGAATACTCATTTGACAGATTGTGATGTGCCTATATGCCACTTTTATCCTGTAAGTGTGCCTTGTATTAAATTAGTTATTTTATTGGTAAACTTTACACTATCATTTTTTTCATTTCCTTACATGCAACAATGTTCCATATCTCCTGAGGCTACAATAAGATCACAGTGATATGCCTACAATCAATATTTGGTTTGTGAGTGCTAACTATTTCCCCCAAACCCCCCTGCCTTTTTTCGTTTTGCAATATTACACTATGTTTTTTCTGTTATTGTATTGTAGATTACCTTTGTGTATCTTTTCTATATTGTTTTGAGGACTAGGAGTCCTCCTTTGTCTACAATACCATCAGTTAACAGGGTAACTTGATATTTTTTTCTATTACCCACGGAGTGTTTTTTTCCCACTAATCGGTGTCTCTGTACATATAATAGTCATCTCCACAGGCATAGAACCAGTTGGTATATGTCCTAACACAAACTAATTAATTTTTTTACTTGTGTGTCTCACTATCGCGCAATGTACAGCACTAAAGGATATGTAGGCCGTTAAATACAAGACTAGTTGTCGTATAAAATAACTAGCATTAGTAAGAATTGAGAACTCACCGCTACAGACAGGTTGTTACTGAGCTCCTTGAACCCAGATGATGACCTGTCCAACAAGTTGGCCTGAAACAATCTGTTTGTTATTCGGAAAGTTATTGGAAAAACTTGCAGCTCCATGCGGTAACCTAAAAAAAAAAAAAAAAATTAAAAAAAAAAAGTCACAATAGTTATTGAATACACTAAACTATAACGTAACATAATCACCAACCATCCAAAATAACGGAGCTGAGGTCCACAGATACGTTCGCAAGAGGCAGCATTGTGTTCATCAAAGCTTTCAGGTCAGTATCAACTTGGGTTTCCAAATACAGTTTACCACTGATTTCGAGGTCGCCATTCAGGTCTCTAGTAATAAAGGGAGACAAGAGCAAGATTCTAAGGATATTCATCCTGTTGGTATGGATCCAGTGATACAACAGAGAGACCTACAACATACATAGAGGTTTGTCCTAAAGCTTCCTCCTTTGGGTTAATTTAACAATTGTGGTAGAAACCTAACCCAAAAGGTGGGTTCAGAATAAATTCATACAGGTTATCACGTATAAGGAGTGGGCTACACAGTATATAAAGATGTGGTGTGCATTCTCAACTTGGGATCTTCATAATTATGTTCTATTCATTTTATAAGATGGGGGTGGAAATAAAACTTTTTTTTTAAACGAGAACTTTGAATTTGTACGACGTCTCGCTTTTATGAATATTATAATTTTAACAAAAACGTTTTGTTAGATCTAGAGATTCTAAATAATATTGAATACACAGCACACACTCCTTACCGAATACGAGAAATTGAAAAATTCACAGGAAGAGAGACTCCAATGCAACGCGTTACCTATGGAAAGGAAACCGGTTTAAAGCAGAGAGAATATGAAACCATGAATGGCTGCTTTTAAAATTTTCAGCAAATGTCTAAAACATGGATCAAACCTCAGACTGCCACTTTGGTGTGCACAAAAATAAAAACATGATCAACAGAAAACAGAGCTAGACAACAAATACCTCTAGTTTCAGGCCATTCAAATAACTCTGGGTTTCGTTGTTACTCTCCAATACTGCCCTGTAGCCAGCATGCAGAACAATAAAGTATATGGACAAAGACTTTGGTTCCAAGTTCTTCACTGTAAACCCTGAAAATGGAAAAAAGAAAAAAAAAAGAAAAACAACTTTATCAGAAGTTTTAATAGCAATTCTGAAAATACAGTCTAAAGCAGCGTTTCACTAATTAGGGTTCCGGCAAATATGTAAAAAATAAAATGGCCGCGGGCGGCAAGGGAGAAGTGAGCAGCGATCTCCCTGCTCAGCTCCCTTGCGTGCACAGCAGTGATGCTGGAGCCGGAATATGATGTCACTCCAGCTCCGGCATCACTAAGAGACGCGCGAGGGAGCAGAGTAGGGAGATCACTGCTGCCTCGCCGCCTGCACGCCAGCCGCTCAGCAGCCCTACTCGCCAGCACTCCTAAAGTTAGTGGGGCTGAGTGGAGTAAAATAAAATAAAAAGGTTTTCTTTTCTACGTGTCTGTCAAAGAGAATGTGTGTGTCAGTGAGAGTATGTGTGTACCTAAGTTTGTGTATGTGCCAGTGTGTTTGTATGTGTCTGTGCATGAATACATACATACATACATGTAGGTGCAAGAGTGTGTGTGTGTGTCAATGTGTGTGAGAGTGTGTGTGAGTGTGTATCTGTGTGCCTGTGTGCGTGTGTGTGTGTGTGTGTGTGTGTGTGTGTGTCAGTCAGATACATATACACACAGATGCACACTGTCAGAGATCCACAGATACACACTGTATGGATCTATGGGCGCGCGTGTGTCAGATATACATTGGCACATACAAGCTCAGATTTACACACCGGCACATACATAAAAAAAAAATAAAAATAAAAAAATTGCACAAATCACAATGTTGATACAATATGTCAAAGGGTTCCACAGGAAAAAAATTAATTGGGAACCCCTGGTCTAGAGAAAATATCAAACCATATGAAAAAAATTAGAACATTTATATAGTCTTTAACCCCTTCATGACGAATGACGGACCTGGTCCGTCATGCCGGGAAAACTGTTAACCCCCGAATGACTGACCGGGTCCATGATGCGCTAAAGTTAAACCTAGATCACTGTGATCGCTGGGTTAACGCTCCTCCGGTCTGCCTCTGTATTCAAGGCAGACCGGGAGCACCCGACTCACAATCTGCCTCCCTGCTCTTACGCGTTCTGTGTGAAGTACAGGGAGACTGATCAGTGATCTTCTCCCGGTTACAAAATAAATAAAGTTAGTTTAAAATCCCACCCCTCTTTACCCATTTTAAATAAAATAAAAAAATAAATAAAAAAAAATATGAACACATTCCCTGCCAATTGATCACCGACTACAGTGATCAATTGGCAGGGACTACATTTTACTGTGATCTGTTTTTTTTTTTTTTTTACTACACACACACCCCTGAGGGTCAACTTTTATTTTTTTGTAACCTCAGGGTTAATTTTATTAAAATGATATAGTTAGCTATATGGGGTGGGTGGAAGTTAGTGGGGAACTGGGTGTTAGGCTAGCTAGGGGTTAACGTTAAAAAGGTTTTAATACCATTTAAGAGGAAAAAAAAAAAATATCGCCCCCCCCCTTTACCCAGTCCTAATAAAAATTAACCCCTTCCCTGCCAGTTGATCACTACCTACAGTGATCAAAATACATATCACAGTAGCATACTGTAATCTGATTTAAAAAAAAAAAAATGTATTAAGTTTTTTAAAATTATATATTTTGCTAGCTGGGGTGGGTGGGAGTTATAGGAAATTGGGGAATTTACAGTTAGTGCTGCTTACTGCTAGCTAGGGGTGAATGGTAAAAAAGAAAAGTTTATAGAAAATGTTAAATCTGGAAATAAAATAGTTTTAAGAAAGTTTAGGAAAGTTAAAAAAATTTAATAAGCAAAAAAAAAGTTTAAACACGAGTTTAAAAAGTAAAAAAAAAAAAAGTTTAAAAAAAGCTCCTCATTTCCACTACACCTTGAACAAGATAGAGAAAAAAAAAATTCCACGCTAAGGTTACAAATATGCCTTTTGAATTACCCCAGAGTGTATTCTTAATAAATAGTATGTGGGGAAGTTTGAATAACCAACCAGCTAAAATACTCCAAAATGGAACATGGACACAGTGTATAACTTCAAAGTTAGAAAAAAACTGAATGGCTGTGTATTGCTGTACTCAGACAACATAGCTGAGCACATATGTAGTATTATACAGTCGTAGCACACAAGGTTTGCAAAATATACTTTGTGTATCAAAAAGGCAGAAAAAAAAAAAACGCTTATCACCACTACACTTGGTACAAGCTAGCAGAAAAATGATCCCGTGCTAATGTTCAAAATACCCTGGGATGTCTTCTGTAAGAAATGGTATGCCTTTATGGTGTAGCTGGAATATGTAGCCTGCTCAAGTGCTCCAAAGTGGGACACGGACGCATCAAAACCCTCCATGAAAACGCACACTTAAAAACCTGAACTTGTCACGTCTCTTTTACAGCACTGTAACTTCATAAAATAGTGTCTAGGTCATACATCGGGCATATTGTTTTACTCAGAAGATTTAACTGAGCATAATTTGGGGGGTTTTATGTCAGTGGTACATATTAAGTGTAAGAAATACTCTGCAAAAATGCAACATATGTAAAAATGCCATTTCCCCTCCCCTCACCACAAACATTGACATAAATTGGTGACAAGTTAATGCACAATAGAAACCATATAAGATACCCTTGGGCGTCTGCTTTATCAAATGAAAGCCCTTTGAGGGGTTATTTGAGCAGTCACACTGCTATAATACCCTAAAATGAGACATAGGCCTGTCAAATCCATTTACGAAAATGAAATAGCTTTGTCTCATATATGGCATTGTAGCTTCACAGAATAGTGCCAAAATCATACAATGGGGGTATCGTTATACACAGCAGATGTAGCTTAACACAATATGGAGTTCTGTGCAGGAATAGCACACAGCAGCTTTACGAAATACACATTACGAAAACCTTGTTATATGTTGATATGCCAAAATAAAGAAAAAACAATTTTACGCCAATATTTAGCAGAGATTGGCGATGAAATGGCTACGTAAAGAGTGTCAAAATAACCTTGGTTAAATGGCCTGTAATATCTACTTTATATAAATATATACTTGTGTGGCAATTTTTTTTCCTGTGATGGCAACTAAACCTACAAGACAAACATACCAACTTCTAAAATTGTTGCAAATTGACATTTTATTTCTTGTATTTTGTGACCTGTAACTTTCAAAATAAGCTGAAATCCTATACATTATGTACTCTATAAATCAAGACACACAAATTAATTTATTTTGAATTACTTTTTCTAAGCTGGACACAGACTTTGCAACTCACTTCACTGACAAGATCTCTACAATCAGAGAAGAGATCTCATCTTTCTTCTTCCCCTTACAATACTTCTCCTAACTTCACTCCCTCTGCTGTTTTATGTTCATTCGCAGCCGCTACATTGGAAGAGGTTTCTGCTCTGCTCCAGTCCTCCCACCCCACCACCTGCTCCCTAGATCCAATTCCCTCGCATCTCATCCATACTCTGTCTTCTCCTCTTTCTCTGACTCTCACTAAAATTCTCAATCTCTCTCCCTCCCCTCTGGTATATTTCCATTGCCCTTCAAACATGCAACTGTAACCCCAATTCTAAAGAAGCCCAACCTTGACCCTAACTCCCCATCCAACTATTATCCTATCTTGCTACTGCCTTTGGCATCCAAGATCCTTGAAAGAATTGTGTATGCGAGATTAACTGACTTCCTCGAGTCCAACTCTCTGCTAGACCCGCTTCAGTCTGGTTTCCGCGCTAAGCACTCTCTGGAAACGGCACTGACCAAAGTATCCAATGATCTACTCGCTGCAAAATCTCGTGGTCACTACTCTATCCTAATTCTCCTTGACCTGTCTGCGTTTTTTGACACTGTTGATCATCAACAGCTTCTTCTCATCCTCCGCAATATCGGTCTACAAGATATTGCTCTCTCCTGGTGCTCCTCCTACCTCTCCCAGCGCTCTTTCAGTGTTTCTTTCTCTGACTCCGCTTCTTCTCCCCAACTCCCCTCTGTTGGTGTCCCCCAAGGTTCAGTCCTTGGTCCCCTACTGTTCTCCATCTATACTGCCTCCCTTGGTAAACTCATTAGCTCCTTTGGCTTCCAATATCATCTCTATGCAGATGGCACGCAAATCTACCTGTCCTCTCCTGATCTCTCCCCGTCCCTCTTGACTAGTGTCTGACTGCCTCTCTGCTGTTTCTAACTGGATGGCTGCCCACTTCCTTAAACTAAACTTGACCAAAACTGAAATTCTGGTCTTTCCTCCCTCAAGTGTTACTCCTGTGTC